TCCACATATATTTGCCATAAATCTACGAGGTAATCGTCAAACGTGCTATGAAATTAACTCACATTAAAACTGGAGTTGCTTACACAGCTCTTTCACTTTCAATTTCGAAATATGATGTTTCCAACAGAAATAATTTTCTGTGCGGTTAACAAAAATGCAACTTAATTTAAAAAGAACATAGAATGAACTCCATTATTCGACTGAAGCACGGTCTTTCAAAGGTCGTTATTCAGTTTGTAGATGTCTGAATGACCGACGTATGATCTATTTATAGGACCTTTTACGGTTTGTGCGGACATGTATAAATTACATTAAACTGTGTATATTTTCTATGTAAATACGATTCGTGTTGAATTCTTTTTACCTGCCATGTTTGACGCATAAAGATCAACGCCAGGAGAGTGATCATAAAAAGAGATAATTCAATCAGTTCAACAGTCTCAGCACTTTTTCGCTGTTTTTTATTGAACGATTGAATTCGAAATCGAAACTGCTCAACGGGGTTTTCCCTTAAAATCAACATGATATGAGGTACGCCTAAAAACGTTTTCTATTGCCGCCAATATTGATTGACTACTAGAGTGTGCTTAGTTCCGGTCGACTGTCGGAATTACAGTATATTTTTAGGTTCTCGGTAATATAGGGAGCGAACAAGAATGTTTACGAATGTTCTCTTCATTGCAAGCCTATTAAACTTTTGACCCAGTCGTGCGACTAAACTGACAAAACAGGAATAACCTCTTAACAAGGGAAAGTCCCGATTATTTCAACGGGAAAAGAAAGAGGAAAGAAGAGTTTTGTCTTTGTCTGATTTGTTTGATTTTTCAATCCATACAAAACATCTGATACCTGTCAAAGAGAAAGTTATTTAGGGCTCATTCGACTAGCATCGAAGGACTCTACTTAATAGGGAAAATAACAGTCTCGAAAAACTTAACGTTACCTGTATCTGTGCTCTTACTTTTATCTTTGCTAAGGGATAATCCCGCCATAAAGGAGATTCAATTTTTTTCATGGAATGGCAAAGGAGATAAAATAAAACCGCGACGTTGTAAAAGATAATTATTTTGAAGGTAGCTTTTCAAAAATTGTTTAACGTTGCATCTTTTAATATTAATAAAATTGGAAAGAAAAAAAATCCACTCAAAGAGACTACGACAAATGGAAAACAATTTTTAAATTAGATTTAAAAAAATATGAATGAAAGAAAATTTAAAAAAAGATGCGAATTTTCTTAGCATGGAAAATCTTTTTTGTTTGAGAAGTCATATGTACAGAAATTATCGGGTGGCACTATTTCAACCGCCAGCTAATAATTTCCTCAACTTGGGAAAACTTTCTACGTAATTAACAAAGAAAAAAATCATTTCAAGCAACCATGCTTCACATTCCTTATGCGACATGACAAACAACTATTAAAGCATATTGAAACTGAACCACGCGAAATTTATGGCCACGGAATAAACAGCTCCACATCGTGTAGAAATAAATACAATTCACTTTAATTCCTCAACGGCGTAGGTTGAAACTAAAATAACAAACAATTACAAAAGTTACACAATACATAATAATGAGAAATAACAAACGGCAGGACGGAAAGTGGACCATAAAACACTTATATTGTTACGGCCACTCAAAAGAGTAGGATTGACACTGTTAAGGCCGAAAAAAAAAAGAAGAAAAAGGACTAGCGAAAATTTCGATTCGTTACTGAACTGCGCTTAGTACAAAAACTAGAAAACAGGCATATCACTGCTATACGTACACGATAAATTATGCGAAGTAGCAATAAGGCGGCAATAAGGTGGCAGTAAAAGGACAAAAAAGGCGCTAACGAAACAATAAGTATAAATGTTCGCCAGTTAAGGGGTGAAAAGACTTACATAATGAACTTTACACATGCAAAGAATCCAACACAAAAAAACTGTCGCACCTGGAACTTACACCTATTTCATGTAGAACCTTTTCGATTCAGTTTACAGTCGGCTCCCACTGAAAAGGCTAGAAGAAAACAAAACCAAACAAAATACAAAATTTCTGCCGAATCATTATATGTTGACTTAGTCGAAAGGTGGTTGAGGTAAATTCTAGCAGTTTATTGATGACACTATAGCGATAGAGTAAAGTTATTTTTTTGACTTGAAGCCGGCCACTGGTCTCCACTTCCTAGTTAAAGGAAAGTTGTTTGGCGGAGTTATGGCCTGGTCAGCGATCGTAAATAAAATATGATACATCGTGCACCGAGGGTCAATATTTGTTGCAAAATCACCATTAAAGGTAAAATTATCAAATGAATAAAAGTAGCTCCTACAATGTTCAGAGCACTTAACTGTCAAGATGAGAAAGGTAACAAGGAAATACACTTTTGAAAAAAATCCATTTCCGTTCAACAGCTATAGGAGGCATTCACACAATTACGACCTAATTATCTACACAGTTCTTAATTGACCTCCTGACGTCGAATAATTGGAATATAAAGCAAAACAAGCCGTTGTGTCTTGCTTTTGTATCAATATTAGCACAAAGGAAGTTTTTACAAGTTTATTAGGATCTAAGTTCTATTTGGAGAAAAATCCTAAATAACCACATATGGCATTAGCTGATCCCACAACTCAAGCGATGCTGGGATTAATGGAGGGAGTTCTTTTGAAACATTTTAGAATAAAGAGTAGCGATATAAAAACATGACGTTTCGGCGACGACATGTCACCATTATCAAATGCAAATTATAACAAGATAGTGAACGTTATATATACAATAGTAAGTGACAAATTACATTAGAATAAACGAGGCGGGAATAAACAAAAGAATGGAAAAATATTTTAAATAAACAGTTTCGCTGGAATGGAGTCATTTTGAGTGTTCAGAGTCGGTCTCTTTTTCCTTATCAAAAGCATCTCGTAAATAAGGCACTCAAATTTTCCGTGGCATTTCTTTAAGATGTTAAACTGCTCGTGAAGATTGGTAGGTCTTTGATTGTGTTTATCCTGTAGGTGTTTACCGATGACGGAATACTTATGCTCCTCGATGCGCAGGTGGAGGTGACGGCTCGTGTAGCCTATTTAATTCGAATCACACGAATTACATTGAAATTCATACACAACGCATGGTTGGTTTACAAGTCAGGGCTTTGTTTCCGTGACTTTTAAATCTTCAGTTTCTTACTTGTGAAAACTGGTTGTATTACACGATCGATTTTCTTTCCAAGGTCGTTTAGTTGCTTGCGAACGGAGTTGGCAGATTTCTGATCGTTGAAAGGCAAGGTTATTAATACAGGGCTGTCAATTGGCTCAATACAGCTTTGGTTCAGATCGCCGTTAAACTGGAAAAGTTGATCTTTGGTTGCAATTGTAAGCAGTTCGATTAGGTCTCCTTCACAGATTTTTATATCGCTACTCTTTATTCTAAAATGTTTCTCAAAACCTCTCATCATTAGAAGTTCTTCTGAACCCTCCAGAATGGCGCACTCTTGAAAAAGTAAAGATGATTCTTCCTCTCCTAAGAACGAGATCACCTTTGTTTTATATCCTCAGAAAAGGTGAGTAAGTGAGTATCTACCGATGTTTTTCAAAGATAACTCTTCAAATGAAATATATTTTTCAATAGAAGAAATTTTATCAAGGGCAGAACACCTGCTTCCATGCATCATTCTGGAAAACGTTTGCGCGCGCGCATGACCAAAAACTTCACTGATTTCAGTTTCTGTAAGCTGAATATCATGCCTTTATTGGTCTTAAGGTAATCGTTTCGAATAAAACAATGCTTAACAGTTTTTATTAGATAGAACTCAACTTATTAAGGAGGGGGAATTAATCGCTATTGAAACATCATTCAGCCATCGTCAACTGAGACATAATATCGTTTCCTATATTCAGAGCTTGTGGCATATAAATACAGTATTCCCTTACATTCTCTGGCCGCCAAACTAACCAACCAGTTCGAATGACCGAACTTAAATATACTCAATTGACAATAACTCTTGAATCGACTCTGATGATGACTTCCGCGAATTGAAGTTGACGAAACGCTGGTCACCTCTACTGACAACGTTCCTTTAAGTACTACCCTCGCTTGAACGAACAGACTGCAAGATCAAATGTTCTCCCCGGGTTCGAACCATTCATTATATTGTTTACTTAAAATAAGCCACTTAATAAATACGCCAAATCATTTAGGATTCCCTACGAAAAGAAAACCTATCTTCAATACAGCTTTTTAACTAGAACTATAAAGCAGTGGAACAGTTTGCCCGCCACACCAGCCACAGCCCCAAGTCTTAATGTTTTTAAGAGTGGGGTCTGTTAGCTGAAACATTATGAACCTTTGCGAACCTGACCGAATCCGAGCATATAAGCCTTGTAGAGAGGGAACGCTTGTAATATGGTAAATAAATAAATAAATAAATGAATAAATAAATAAATAAATAATACTTTATTCGACGAATAACAAAGGAAACACTGGATTTAAGAATAAGAACTCAGGATCAAACTTTTGAGTACCATTATTTTGATTACTCTTAACTATATTTGTATTTTCATATTCATCGTTATCATCATCATCGTTATCATCACAATCACCATTATTATATCACGCGAGAGAATATATTCTCTTGTATCACCAATATCACTTTTTTTACATCAAATTTACCCCTTTCATTTTATTAATCAGACCTTGTTAAATCCTCAGATCTCCTTGTGGACATAGCCACAAATACAAGTTTGAAGAAATCCAAAAGAGATCATGCAGGCATCTGACAAGGCTCAATTGCATATGTGCATCGAACCAGGACTCAAGGTTCCGGACGCTTTCTAAAGGTTTAATGACAGTGTCACCAATAGCTTACGCGTAGCAGTTCCCTCCTCCCACCAAGGTGATACGGAGGCGAAACGTTTACGAAAACCTGAAACTAATCGTGTTCCTTGACGTCTCTCTTTTGCGAGAAAATATATAATGACTTTTGATTAGTTAACCCCTTTTGCCGATTTTTTTGTTCATTCTGATTAGCTAGAGTTGGCAAGTTGCATCCGATCGTGGAGGTAGGACTCCAGCCAGACCAGAAGCTTTCCGCTGAAACCGTAATCACGCAGCTTCCTGTGTAGTTTGCGATGAGTCACTTTGTCAAAAGCCTTCGACATATCAATGTGGATAACATCAACCTGACCCCCGTTGTCGAGTTGGGGCCGATGTAGTCGAGTACCTCTACCAACTGCGTCACGCACGACCGTTATGAAACCGTGTTGTGAGCTCTCGATCAGACCGTACACGTGGTCTTTGGTTGAATTGAACACGCAGCGTTCCATCACCTTGGAAACCAGGCACAGTAACGAGATTGGCCTGTAGTTCTCGGCATATTTTTTATTATCCTTCTTTAATACAGGGACCACGTTGGCCAGTTTCCAGTCCATGGGAAGGAAGCTGAGTCTGAGAGACTTGTTGAATAGTTCGCATAAGGATGGAGCGATCTCATATGCTGTCTCCTTCAAAACCCTAACTGGCACTACAATGTAGTGAGACTGCTATCCTACAATCTACCGACCCTCTACCGCTACCGACAGAGGACATTATGGACTTACTAAACCTTTGCCTGACGTCAACTTACTTTCAGTACAACGGTAATCACTACGAGCAGTTACACGGTACAGTTATGGGGTCTTCAGTTTCTGTTTTTGTAGCTGAAATTGGGATGCAGAACATCGAGGAAAGCGCCCTTTCGACTTGCCGAAAAACGATACCGCTTTGGTTACGCCACGTTGACGATACTTTCACCGCCGTACGACACGACGAAATCGACGCATTCCACCACCACCTTAACGAACAAAACACTGACATAGAGTTTACTGGAGAGGTAAACTACCTTTTCTAGACTGCCTGGTAAGCCGTAACGACAATTCACCACGGACAACAGTTTACAGGAAACCGACACATACCGACAGATTACTGGACGAGTCATCCTACACAAAGCCACAACTATCAGGACTCTTACGCGACGAGCGCAACTAGTATGCAATACGACAGACAGCTTATTCGACGAGAACAAGCACCTTGACCGTGTTTTTTCAATGAACAACTACAACGAAGACTTCATCCAACGTAACACTCACCGACCTACTACTATTAACGATGCTAACGACAACGCAACTCCTACGACCACAGCAACTATACCATACATAAAGGAGATATCTGAGAACATCTCGCGCATCCTAAAACCATTCATTATCCGTGTCGCTCACAAACCTATTACCACACTACGTCAGTTACTGACTACTGTCAAAGACAAAGACGAACCGAGGAACAGACAGGGAGCGGCGCATAAGATCAATTGCTCCGACTGCCACGCCTCCCACATCGGTGAGAGTGGCAGAAACCTCACAACTAGACTGACTGAATACAAGCGAGCGACGAGGAAAGGCGATGTCAACAATCACATTGCTGAACATCACCGACTTACGAACCACACTATTGACTGCGACTCTGCGCAATGCCTAACCAACAGCACCAACTACTTTCAACGACTGAACCTGGAAAGCTGGTTTACTGGAACAGACTTCCCTCAACAGGTGTCAACCACTACCGGCACCATACAAACGACTCATTCACAATATGAACATTACAAACGAACCGAACAGAACTATCTAACTTCACTAACGGATCGAGACCGACTACTCACGACCGACCTACGCCACTTAAGTCTTACAGCCAATAACATTACGGACGATCAAACTATACTATTACATGTCACCCCCGGGTTCAAATCATTTACTGTAAAAGTAATTATTGTTTGCGCTTTAATTTGCGCTTGAAAGAGGATAAGGATATCTTGCGTCAAGTTTTGCAATTTAAGCACCAGGCTGCGCCATTGTGATTGCAATTTAGTTTAGTTTAATGGTAACAGCCCCACACCAGCAGGTTAATTTCGGAATGTCTTAGCAAATCAGTGACCGGGAAAGAGAGACGACATTCGGCGATATATTTGTGTCTCTCTATAGAAGGATAAAAGGATTTTCTACAGACGCCTCTCTAATGCTAATGCCTTCGATGCCCTCTTTTGGTGGTCTCTCTTACTCCATACTCCATAATTGAAAAATGATGACAAAATAAGTAGTAGACCTCTCTTTATCATGTAAAGTCTTCCATTTGTTAAACATATTAAACAGTAAATCAACAGATTTCTTCCAAAGAAAAAAAAGACCACATAACCCATTCCTTTTCCTTGAGACCTGCAAAAAATTAAACCACGAAAGATAAGTGTAGTGAAAGACAGTGAAGAAAGCGTAGGAAAGTCTTTATAAAAAAAACAAATGTCATAACTACAAATGACGTAATGATTTATATTTTGAATGACTCGTTTCCAACAGATTTTTTTTATTTAAAGTAAGCATTTAGATGTTACTATTCTCATAATTATGACAAACAAATGCCAAGAAGAGAGAGCCGATTGATAAAAATCCTGACTAGCGAGTAATTAACCAATTGGTTATTCAAAAGAAACGTGGAATATAAACTAAGGCTTACAAGGAAAAAATCGACCTAATTAGCTGAGCGAAGGTTCCACACCTATGATATGCTATTGCAAATAACTCTGTCTAAGACAGAAACCGAAAAAACGTAATCTACCTAGATATCTCACTCTTTGCCAGTTACAGCTTTATTCTGGAATTTGCTTTACTATTCTACGCTTATATCGTGAACCCTAACGGACTAACGTTGGTCAAATCTTCTAGGCAGTTATATTTCTTCTCAATCTGTCAATTCCAAAGACCCAAAGACATTGACTCTGCAGTATAACATATTCTAATCGCTCGCAGATAAAAATAACAGAGAACTGTCTCCGTTTGAATTTATGAGTTTAGCCAACCGATTCAATCCTTACCAATGATATGTTTGGCTCCAAAGAAAAGGGGAATATTTCAACAAGATAAATTTCCAATGCAAGATGCAGGAAAACTTACCAGTATTGCATTCCCTTTACATGTGTCAGCGGGTGTATTCTTTCACATCCAGTGCAGGAAAGTCCTCAGCTATGATGATCTGACCGTTTACTCAAAACCGATCGCATTTATTTTTATATGAATGAACGACAACAAAGGGAACCATCTACGTAGTGAAAGGTGTGTCCTTCTCTCCCTCAGTTTCCGTTTTTTTTTTGTCAGTATGTTTGTTTGGTTTTTTTCTCTTGGTATATTTGATTGTCACTCTTATTTGTTTAGTTTCTTGACTGTTTGTTTTTTTTTGTATGTTTTTGTGTTTGTTTTTTTTTTTATATACGTTTGCCTAAGTTTTTCGTTTGTTTGTTTTTTTTTCTAGTTTTTAATGTTTTCTTGTGTCTTCGACCATGTGAATGCATATTCTTCTTTCGACCAATCCTTTCCTAGTTAAAAAAAAAATTATGTCTAGCCGGTTCAGAAATATGTCGTTTGTTATGTCCCACGCTGCAGTAGCCATAGAAGTTCAAAAATAAAACATAATAATATGGTAGCGATTTTAGTTGCTACAAAATTCCATCCATAGCTGATACGGTCAGAATTTTCTCATTGCTGCATGCCATTTGGCAATGGTTTGGACAAGCTAGCTAAAAAATCAAGTCACAAATCGATCTTTAATTTAAACATTTCTGCTTGAGTGAGACGTCAATTATCTTCGTTATCTACTTAACTTTTGAGTATAGTTATTTCAATTTGCATTTTGAAATGTTTGAGTTAACCTTTTTTTTTTATTGTTACTAAGGACTAGTTTGAAGTTGGCCGAACAACAATGTTGGCATAATGGGCACGTTCGGCTGCGAGAAAAGGAAATACATAAGAGAGGTTACTACTAAGCAAATGATTAAATTTTTTATAAAAAAAAACCGGCCATCTATGGTGGCCAGTAAGTGCTATTCTAATTAAAAGTAAAATGTATTTGGGGCACTGGTGTAGAAGTTTCAAACACGAGTCCTAAGTCATAAGTGCAGATCCAAAGTTAGAACGACGGATCCATAGTTACGACTTTTGCACCAATATCTATTCTTTTCACACATTTAAAATAGTACTTACAGGCCACCCAAGCTATCACATGAAAACAGAAACTAGAGAGAAAACATCAGCACGTAGAACTCAAGAGCACAAATCAATGACAAAAAGGTAAATCATATGCACTTGTAGAACACAATACTTAAATAACTACGATGCTTCTATTCCTCATCTATTTTAAGTTGTTTAAACAACAACAAAGGTGCCTTGCAGATACGATTTTCTAGATTGTACTGGTGAAGCGGTAGGAAGGAAAGTTTAGTGGCTCCCCTTTCCCATGAACTGAACTGAAAATTATACAAATATCGAAACAAAAAAATTGTCTTATCAACCTCTGCATGTTTAAGTTATTTTTGTGCTAAGTAATTTTCCAAGCCAATGGACCGAGCGATAGAATAATCTACTCTAGGATATCCAAGTGTTCAATGAATACAAGAAGTTTCATGAAATGTACTTAAACCCCATTGTGTATCATTTTAACTGCACAGTCTTTGTGAACCTTGTGAAGCATGGTAGAATTTGACAGCTATTGAAGACATCCTATAAACAATGAAAAAAAAAACGCAGTTTACAGAGATTTTTTACGATCTCCATAAGTAGTAGGAAGAAGTTTAAAAGAAAAAAAATTAAATAAAAAGTAAATGAAAACATAACACATAACAAAAATATTGTTTGAGCACATGTGATCACGAATACGTTTGTTCACGCCATAGGTAGAGATACTTCACCTCTAGACAAATACAGCATTCATCGTGTCCCGAATCAGGTCTGCACTTATGTTTTCCTCCAAGACGTTTTTCCAGGCATACGTTAAAAACATCACAGTGGAAGGATCTGTCGCTATGGATTCTATCCAATAATTAAGAAGGAATGCAGAAAAATAACAGTGTTTTAGTTTTGTAATGAATAAGAAACCTACCCTGACCCGAATAACTATACTCACTAGGTTTATACTACTCCCTCTATGTCAGATGGAAACTGTGGCAAAGCATATAATCCTTCCCCGGCAGTTCTTCAGCTTTCCACTTCAAATTACCTCAACATAGTTATTCGCTTGTACTTGTAAGAAAGGAAAATTCTTTGCTAAAGACCTTATCTTGAAGAAATAAGCTTGTGTATGAGGTCAATGCGTGCGAGGCCGACAAAGGTTATTACTTCTTAAAACTATTTAAAAAATCTCTATCTGTTTCAAGGCTGAATTCATGATTTATTGAAACATATTCTGAAGTAAATGAACATAGCCGGAGCATAGCACCTAACCTGCAGATCCCACACTTCGTGCAATGGAATTGGAGAACAACTAAATTATTTTTGAAACATGTGTCCTAACTCCTTTTCGTGGGAAAAAATAAAAGAAATTTTTTTTCGAAGGGGAAGTCGAGAGGACTGCTCTTAGCGAGAGCGGCACTTAAATATTGACATGCCGAACTGGTAGTTCATGAGCCGCTCGAGTAAAACCAGGAAAACGGCAGATTTTCAGCCAAAAAAATTATCTTTTCCTTCACCATGCCACTCACGGCTTTGAAAGCCGTTTAAAATTACTTCAAAACAACAAGTTCAGCATGCTGAGTAAACATGGATGCCGTGTGTACACGAACACGAGACATTCGTAAAATGGAAATCATTAAGTTTGTGGCTGATTTGGAAGTAAACATAGGTTGAAGTTGGGAAATCAAACAAAACTTACCTCACCTTCAGTCAGCAGGCGAACAAAATCGTTTTCCAATCATGTTACTAAATTGATTCTTCTTTTTTCGCATCGAGAGTTCATAAGGAAATAACGAAATGCTGCATCACGTGATTTGATCAACAAGAAAGTTCGTTGCATGCGTATAAATATCATGTGAGCGGTATGCTGGAAAGTAAATCACTTGCCCGTCATAAAAAAAAAATCAGCGAAACGTAATCCATCGAATTTTAGAAAAACGAAGGAGATATTATGAAATATTTAGTTAGTTCAGAATCATTTCGTCATTCGTTTATACTTATCATTTAGTTGTTATCTGAATTTGAAAATCAAAGTTATTTAGGTTTGAACTATCGCAATGAGTTTCCAAATTATGACTTTTTTGTCTAACTTTTACGAGTGGAAGTGTTTAGTTTGTCCACTAACCTGGCTCTGAAAGCACACGAAAGTTGATCAGAAGTATTAAGTACGTTTTCGTTCATTTGAGAGATTCTTGTAGGAGTGTTTGAGTTAGAGCTCTGACAATAAAGGTTTATTAATCTTCTAAAGTCATTTGGCCACCACGCCCACTCATGCCTATGATAGTGAATATCAGAGCATTTACTTTAGAGTTTACTCAGTAGAAGTAAATGACAAGAAAACAATTATCGAGTTGTCAGAGAGAGCTAGAAGCCGAATCAAAAAGAGTTTAATCAGAGTTACAGTCAAGCGAAAAGGGTTACATAAAATCAAGAAAAAATGTCGACAATTCCGACAAGTAACAATTTGAACATATATCATTCGCTGAATCTTATTAAGTCCGATAAGCGCCGATCAGACATGTAAGTACTCTTGTCCTTGTTCGATTTCAGTTTGTAAGAGAACTTCTTCATACTGAAATCATCGTGTGAAATCATATGTAACATTGGAAAATTCGGATTTCAAAGAATCGTTCAAGTTCAGGGTAACCTTCATGGTATCCCTGTGCTCCGTTCTTTTGATGCACTGTGATCTGTGTGGTCTTGGATCACAAATCCTAATCCGGATCCTCCCAAAGGAATGCACCTTTAGTTAAAGATTCCGGCAAAGTCCTATCACTAGGCACGTGCCAAAATGTCGCTGTCTTCATCTTTAGGACATATTTAAGCGTAAAAACCATGCTTTTAAGATAATTCGCCGGCGATCGTATATTCCTCAATCTGGCCTACTGATTGCCAGTATGAAACCTCCGCAAAGTATTTTTAAGCTACAGCTTTTGTTAAACGACGCTGAATCCGACTGAAATAGAGAGAAACAGCTATCTGCGCCATTATGATGATTATGTTCTGTGTGTAAAACTAATTTCATTCGTCAATATACATCAAGCGAGTTCGAAGTATAAATGAAGAAAATGACGAATACTTAACGTTACATGAACAATGCAATTATGCAAGTTATAACCCAACATTATTTCATGATGACCTAGAGGCTGCCTCGTGGAACGAAGTTCTAGCATTTCAAGATGTTAAAGAGGCCTGGCTGGCAAAGGCCTACACAAAGTTTACTGGAACTGTTTTCAACGATGAGTAGTCATAGGGACACCTGGAGCGTTTTAATGCGTTCGTTGATTGAAGCCAACGAGTCTGTAGAAGAATGAAAAGAGAGCAGTTGTAGAATGGAGAATAGTCGCGATTCGGGGGGTAAGAGGCTTTTTGACGCAGAGAAAAAATGTACTGCAACCGATCTCTGAAACAAAACGAGGAGATCGAAGATGGTGAAACAAAAAAACTTTGCCCCGAATATACAGAAAAAATTAGAACGGTGAAGGTTTCGGTGAATCAGATTCGAGGGAAGTTCGTCTGGTCCAGTGAATGGATGGCCCCGACGGCCCCGTTCAAATTCAGGTCTGTACTGCTACACCAGCAACTTCGTCGTTGAGAAGGCGACGCAGACACCGAGTGATCTTCACGTCGCAGAAGGGGTGTACGTTATGGTGGCGCGAAGCTCGGGAGCCAAAGCTAAGAGGGTACAGAAGAAGATTTGCATACGGGTATCCTGAGAGGATCACAGAAGAGAAACAAGTTTTGGCGATCTTGAACAGAAAAATTGTGAAGCAGCAAATCGAGTTCTTGCCGCCAATTCCAGATCCATTCGCTAAGCGAAGACCTCGAGAGGTGAAGAAAGCTGAATGGCACACAATGTATTACTGAATGCAAAATACTCACAGAATTTCTTTAATCTTTGCAAAACCTTAAGATTATTGTTATGCAGAAATCAGTATGGTACATATTACATCTCTACGAGTGTATATGTAGTAGATCTTACACTGCTTTCAACGAGGCCCAAAAATTTACCTGGCTTTTTGAGGGGTCAAAAAGTATCTTCTCGTCACCTACAGCACATATTTCAGTGATGTCGAAGGAGAGGAGGAAATATTGGAGAATTGGCTGAGCTTAGTAAGTTTATTTTCATTCAAATAATCATAAGATAATGCACCAGAGAAACATTGCGCAAAATATGCTAACTTGAATCAGAGAAAAAGGAAGTCATGTTGATGCAAGCTTAAAGTATAGTTTGTGAATAGATGAAATACTTTTACGATTGAAACTTTTTCGTCTATACACATTCCCTTTTCATTATGCAACTGAAAAACTTATGCATAAATAGTATGTTCCAAAAATAAAAGTTATTCTTGGGTAAATCCTACCATTGTAATTCCCAGGTTCATTTGGGGGCTGTACATAACATTTAAGCTGATTTACTATTGGCCAGAGACTTCCTGGCGGGTTAAAACTTAGACTTATTTCGGTCAGTTCCTTTCTTGAATTATTTTTCACCCGTTTGTTAAGGGTTAACTCTATCTGCTCAACGTAGAAAGAAAGCTTTGGGTGGAGTTGCTTGTTTAAGTTAATTTAGGGAATATTTGACAGACGCTGTTTTGTTTCCAAAATGTTATAATCTTCAATTATCTGTAAGGACTTGTGACTCAGTGACTCCCGCTAACTTTACATTAAAACATCACTCCCAAGGAAATGAGTTAACAGATCACTAGAGGGTTTTGTGATGGAAGATGTTGCTAATTTGAAGATCAAGAAGTAAAAGGGAAAATTTTCACTAACGCGAGTTTATGTTAGCAGAAATGGCGCTACTTTAATTAAAAGTAGGCTCGCTCTCAAACGTATCTTTTGAGAGGATATAGCTCAGAAAAGAAGCCAGAAACAGGCTGTAGGAAGACGTAGGAGCAAATTTGAAAACAAATGGACTCAAAGCAACATAATATATATATAAACCACACACACACAAAACACGCAAACAGGGGAAGAAAAGAATGAAGCAGATACATTGAATTTTGGAAGAAATCGTGATCACAAATGCAAAATTAAATGTTTTTGAGTGATTTGAAAGTTTATTGAACAAATGAGCGTCAAGCGCATGTTGTTGCATTACATTTCATGTTACATATCTTGGACAAACTGATTAAATGTTCCTACACCTCTCCCCCTCTGCTAGACATTATTTATGCAAGACCTAGAATCATTTTGTCTCGTTATGCTATTCATTCAGCCTCTGGTTGAATGACACTAATATTTAAAGGAGGAAAAAACGTAAGGAAGTAACCTAAAAAATGTTTTCAGCTGTAAATCATGTATATTAATAAAAAAAAGACAAATACTAGCTAATAATGGAATAAAATTGAGCTTGAATATGTCATACTTCACGCGATCACCTATAAGTAGCGTTGGTAAATTTGTTTCTTCTTAAAACGAAATTTCATCAACGCTTTTCTAAAATTTTCTAAGTAAAAGACAACGATTACTTATTACCACGCTGGCCGTTATATTGCGCGCGTGTGCGCGCGCACACTTTGAAGGCTCCTCGGTCATTTATCAAGCTGGGTAACACATTTCTTAATTACTCACGCGCCTCTTAAGTGGTACCTGAAACATATAATAAAGCCTACGGTTCTTTTTTTACCATGCACGGTCTTTAGAGTACTTTAGCGAAAAATGAGTTGCACTTAAAATGAAAAGCGCTCATAAAATTTGTTCCTTCTTAAAACGAAATTTCACTTACGCTTTTCATTGAAAATTTACCTATGCATTGCGTCTTTTTTGAGACTACTTTTGCCGGGTAATAAAAAAAAAACGAAATTTTATTCGCGCTTTCTTCAAAAGTTACCTGGATAATGCGTTTACTCGAGACTACCTACTTCTTATTGATTTATTCGCTATATGGAGAACGAAATTTTAGTCTTGCCCCTAAGACGTTCCTGTTACATAAAGTTCAGCTTACGATTACTACTTGTTACCGAAGTGATTAGTAAGTTCCGCATTTACAGAAAACTTTTCTGCTAATACAATACGTCTTAGAGAATACAAAAACGCTCACGAAATTTGTTCCTTCTGAAAACGAAATTTCAATCGCGCTTTTATCGTGTGCTTACTTAGACATATAGATTTTTGGTTGTTCTGCAACTACCTTTTTTTGAGTAGGGTAATATGATTATTGTAAACTAATTCATAGCAGTCTTCCTAAAAATGCCAGTAGAAAACATGCCAGGTAATGTTTCGTATAAACAAATAATTTTTATTATCGGTTACTTTTTAAGCAGCCTCTGATGGATCATTCTTAGGTCGATTTATTCTGACTCCCTTTTTTGTCATTACTTCTGAAATACAACGTCCTCATTGAATACCGTGGTAACTATGTTCTCTCTATCAACCAAGTTTCTTAGTGAACTTGAATTGAACCTCAGTCGAACGTACTGTTTGTCGTTATACTAGTATGTCATCGTAATTATCCTTTTTTTTTACTGTAATTGGTCATTAAACTTTGCTTCCTCAGTCAGCAAAATTTGATCTAATTACGGTATCTGTAAAATCCATTCTTGAGAACTGCTATCTGCAGAAAAAGTAACAACAAATGATTAGTGCAGGCGTATGACATACATAGTCAAACAAGAGAGTCGAAGCAAAGCTATTACCCCAACACCAACAACAAACCTTGCTACAACACTGAGAAGGTCCAAACCCGTCAAAACTTCTAATTAAGAACTTACCAGAAAAATAAATCCCTGAAGTGTGTGTATAACAGCTCATCAGTCTTCTCCTCTACTGTACAGCTGCATTCTGGTCGGTGGAAATCATTCGGTTACTCCAAAACAGTCTGGTCTATTATCATAAGAAGTGACGATACTTAAACGGCTTACACTGTGCTAATGTTTTTGGGTTTTTTTTCCTCTAATCGTTACATGCTTGTTTGCTGGTTTTGATTGTAATATTATTATGATTTTTGTTTCTTGCCTAGTTTTTGGCTGTTTGTTTGTTTGCTTTTTAATTTTTTTTTTTTTACCTAAAAAATCCTACCGGTACGCATGTATAATTGTACCTGTATACTTCCTGGTTCAAAATCTGTTCGCGGGTGAAAAATTGCTCAAGTTTTAATCTAGTTACATCTAATCTTGAAGAAAAAAAAATGGATGCTTAACGAAGGTAGAGCAAAATAATTCACTGAATTAAGGACGAATTTGTCTCAACAGACTTTTCCAACTCCATAACGTAATCCTGAAATCGAGAATTTCTAGATTTCGATCAATTTTAGGGCTTGAGATATTCCAAAATTCACCATGTAATGAATCATATTGTCCAAACTATCCCTCAAAATTTTTATCGTCTCTTCTAATGGGGAATAATTTGCTCTAAATTTAACTTTGTTGGTAGAAAAGTTCTTATTGAGTACTGTTTTGGAGTTGACCGAATAGCGGATGGCGGCAAATTGGACATGTGCGGCTGTAGAAAAAGAAATAATAGTTGAGGATAAGAAATGCTGCTTAATTTTAAGTCCCCCTACATCTCTGACACAGCAAAGCTAGCTAATGAAGCGGGAAGAAGTAGCTCGCAAAAGTAAGACTCAAAAATGTAACGGTGAAAATGAAAAAAACATTTTTGAGCGCTTTTCCTATAAAGCGCGGTCAAGCCCTACCCAGTCGCGATTAAATTTGAACAAAATTAAACAATACATTCCCTTACGATACTGATTCGAAAATTGCTGGGGTCTTTATTTAGTAATATCACTTGACTCTAGCTAAAGCTTTGTAATAATTGAATCGATAAATAATTTGAAAAATTCTTTAATGCCAAAAGGATTACGGAAAGGCGGTAGTTTTTAGCTGAAATCAGTGGGGAAAATTTAGTCAAGGAATGTTCGCAAGCACTAAATTCGCCATTTGTGGCAAAACATGTCACCAGAGAAAGCTAAATGTTTTATCTTCAGAAGTGAGTAAGGTTTCAAGAAATACATACACGCCATTTTGTATCATCGCAATGGCGCAGTCCTTATGAACCTTGTGAGAGCAGGGGAGAATTTGACAACCACTGAAGGCATCCTGTGACGAGAGCAAAAAAAATGTATCAATATAGGTTTTTCTAGGACAAAGTTAAAGGATAGAGGCTAGATCAAAATGTCGCTGCTTTAAGAGCTATTGCTTAAATTTTGAAATTTGTGAAATGGCTGAGATAGTAGGCTGTGTCCAGTTCTCCCAGCTCGTTCATGTTTACTTCATGCTACACTAACAAGGTAAAAAGTTATCTGTGGCTAAATTTAACTTTTATGAATATTTTTTAAGGCTAGATCGAGTTTTTGAAAAATGGGAAATGTTTTGGGGCGTATACGACGTGTTAAAAAATTAATTATAAAATAAAAGGGCGATTGGCTTTTTTCTGGTCGAGCGTACAAAAAAAGAAGGCATGGACAACAATGATAAATACTGAAATTACAAATTAAATTAAGTTAAACTTGATTGGAAATTTACTACTTTAAGACGCAAGCAGTGTAAGAAAAGGTCATTCCTAAAACTACATGACTTGTATGGTTATGAATACACTGGATTCCTGACACTTAGGGTAGTAATTCATCCATCGAGAAAAACTACATCACCTCGAGACATATGCAGCATTCATCGTGTCCTGAATCAGGCCTGCACTTATGTTTTCCTTCAAGACGTTTGTCCAGGCATACGTTACAAACATCACAGTGGAAGGATCTGTCTCTATGGATTCTATCAAAATATTTAAGGTTAGAAAAAGGGAGTCAAATTTGTTACTTTTACTCGAGCAAGTTTAGTAGCCGATTGTATTAAACGGCCTAAGCTGGTCAAAATGACAAAAACTTATACAGATTTCCGTAGGATACTAGAGGTGTTGTTTTCCAACCCCTCGGATAAAAGGCTACTATGTAGCAAAGTACGCTTCTAAATATAACACAACTGTACTTCCAATCCTCTCAAGTTGGAGATAGAACGATATCTTGTAGATCCTCCAAATCTCTAATTTTTCTCATTTTTTTAGGTCCATAAGTCATGCAAAAATCGTTGCATCGTCTTACCTACAGATACCGCATTTTTCACAGTGGAAGGGATTTTTATCCACGGAGGTATAATGGCGACATGTTGGGCAGAAATACTCAGACATGATTGCGTTGCAGCCGCCACATCTCTGGCCATTTTCGTCGATCTGAAAAGAATGAAAGAAACAAGGATGTAGTAGCGTCTTTTAATCGTTCGAGACTTTAGGGTCTATCAGCTGTTCTTTTATGAGATTAGCCTGTATCAGGGTAAGGTGTTATAACTCGAGATACCTTATCTTAACATGAAAGCAAAGACAGAGAATCATAAACAAAATCTCACCTCTTGTTCGTGATAGCAGATAGTGCATCGTATGTGTGTGGCATTAATTGCTCTTGCCTGATCTTCACTACAATCTGACTCGTTATGGCAGCGGTGGCAAGGGAAGAACTTTCCACAGCAGGGAAACCGGACCAAGCATCGCCTTTGATAATGACTGCAAACAGGGCGTGGACTCTCTTGTACAGGTGTTGCCGTGGGTTGCCGCTCAGCTTCCACGGTCGTTTCATTTGATGGGGTAGATTCACGTTGAGTGTTCGTCTCATAAATTCGTTGTGTTACGGCTGCTTCTGCTTCTCCCATATCGCCTGTTTCTTCCTGTATGCCTGTCTTTTCGACTGTCTGGTTTGCAGGATCATTTTCTCTCGCACCTGTAGCATTTAAGGCAACAAGCCGGATAGTCTTGGCCATTAGCTGTTGAAGGTATCTAAAATTAGAGGTCAATGCATGTTCTGTCCATGAATGCTCGTTCTCGCTTAGTGGTGGTGACTGTCCACATTCATTGTTACCTACACTGGTGGAGTAGTCATTAGCCATTGAATCCATGTCGTTGTAAGCACATGCCGATCCACACGTACTGAAGAGTTTCTCCCGGTTGGCATCAAAAGATTTTGGCAGCGATGTTGGATTTGACTCGTTTGTTCTCTCGGCAAAGCATTGATTTCGCAGCACCATATCTTTACAGGACTCTGAGGGTGGAAAATGCCAGCTTTCTTTTTCCTTTCCGTTCGATGGCGCCAAAGCAGCTAAAGCGTTATTTATCGGAATAACTTTACCATATCTATTGGCTTTATCGCGTAGAATGAAGTCTTCCATGTCGTGTGACTTTTGATCTTTGCTATTGAAGAGTTGGTCCTGAGCATTAAATGAAAAGTACTCCTGTTCGTAGTCTTCTTGCCACAGACCGTCTGATGAAGCATGATTATAGTTGCCACCTTTGTGAAACGGAAGCAGTGGGCTACTCTCTTTGACGTGACGTGCTAGAAAAACAGGATCTAGGCCCGGATATATTATTTCGAGGTCAGAGTTAGCTGACATTGGATTTTTATAGCTGGTCTGGGGTAGGCGGGTTTTAGTGTTGTCTGTTGATCTTTGTTTGGGCCTTGCTCCTCCATCGCCCGAGTGAGATTGAAAGAGGTTTCTCTTAGGTTCAAGAGGATATCTAGATTCGCAAAGCGCATCTCTGTCTGTTTGTGACTCGTTTTCGCTACCTAAGGTTACAGCTTTGTGCTTTACGCTGGTTTCGAACTTCTCGCCGGCATGAAAGTCCTTCTGAAGATTTTGTGTGAATGCTGGTCCATCTACAATATCAACATTATTGATAAGGTCTCCACGACTTCCGCCGTCAGCAACAACATCACCCCCATGGAAAATCGATCTGGAGGTAATTTCATGACGGTTTGAGGGGTTGGCTTTTGTCTTAAAATGTGCCTGTCCGTGAGGATCCAATAGCTTTACTGCTCCTAAGCTTTGCTTCAAAGATCGCGTTTCATTTTCCTCTTTTAGGTTGGGGCCGTCCACAGTATCCGTCTCTCTTAGAAGATCTAATACGTCATTTTGACTTCTACTGATATCCTTGTTCTTGGTTCCATCACGTAAACCGTCTTCAATAGGTGGCGCGAATGTTCTCTCGGATGTCATCTCGTCATGATCGGGACAAGAAGTACCTTGCTTTTCCAGTGTATTGGATCTATTTCCTATGATTTCCACTCCACTTCGTTCCCTGTCTTCCACAAGGTGTTGTTTACTAATTTCCAATTTATTTACACCCGGCTTCGTTTGTCTTTGATCAACTGCTATAGCATCCTGTACCGCGTGGTTAGGCATGTCAATCATGGCATGAATATCATTGTGATAATTTTTTTCGAGTATTGATCCATCAAAAGCAACAGAATTTTTGTTAAGGTCTTCGAGGTTTTCGTCTTCGGCAACAACATCACCCCCTTGACACATGGGCCTGGTAGTACTTTCATTTGGGTTTGAGATGGTGGATCTTGACTCAGAATCGGAACAAGGAGTTTCTTGCTTTTCCGGTGTATTGCCGCTATTTCCTCTGATTTCCACCTCGCTTCGTTCACTTTCTTCCTCAAGATGCTGTTTTCTACTTTTAAATTTATTTCCGCCGGGCTTCGTTTGTCTTTGCCCTTCTTGATCAACCCCTATAGTGCCTTGTACCTCTTGGTTAGGTGAGGTCTCCCTGTTGGTTTTGATGGCGTTTTGCCCACTTAAAAAAACATCATTTCTTGCTGTCTCTACGTTCTTAGCGTACGTCTCTCTTTCCAAAATGCTAGAGCTGTCGCTTTTATCAGAGGATGTGAAGTGGTATTCTTTAACCAGCGTTGTTTTAGGCAATCCACTAATTACGTCCTCTGGAAGCTCGCATTTTGGCTCCATGTCTAAAACGTTACGATCTTTTACGTTGTTTAGGGCTGGGCCTTGTGGCAGTTGATGTATTCTCATCAGTTTGTCTTCTTCCTTTGCTGTGCTGCCTTCAATTGAACTAATTCTTTGGTCATTTTCATGAGTACTGACATTCCTGGAAATGGGGTTTCCGCTTGATGCCTGGGCCTCTGGGTTTTGATGCGGAACCTCCAAATTACCACAATTGCTACCATTTTGGCTTGACTGCAATTTTGAGACATTATTTACTGATGCTTTGTTTGATTGAATTGAATTGCCTCTTTCGGAGTTCAGTTGCTTTTTCCTCACGCTTTCTTGTAGGTCAGCCATAATAGTGCGTCTTGACTGTCTACCCTCTTCAAATAGACGTTTCCCCTCCAATATATCACAGAGATCTGCTCTGAGCATGGATTCTTCCTCACGGTTGCTCGCGCTACCCTCAACAGTGGTACATTCATGAGCGTTCAATGTAAGACCCTCGTTATTATCACTTCCTTCTGAACTCTCTGTCAGATGCTGAAGTGAAGTAATTTCCTGGTCTTTTGTATTTTGAGAGGAAGCAACTAAATATCCTGTGTCATCGTCACCCAGATCCACCAAACTTACATCATCCTTCCTGAAAATGTATTCCTCGTCTTCTAGACCTCCATAAGCATTATGACATTGATTAGAATCTGCCGAATAGATGTCATCGTCAGTTACAGGACTCTCCTCGCACCAGAGCAGTCGTGACAGCTGGCTGAAACTCATGAGACACTCTAGAACTTTCCCCTTTGTTTCTTCTAGTCTGCCTTCCAATTCAGATGTATCACCCTGAAATAAATTATTTTTGTATGGTAAATATTAATTGTTTTTTGAATATAACAAAACACTGTTAGGAGGTAAATATGAGAGTATGCATGTGATTTAAATCAAGTTTTGATCGCTTGTATTCCTGTTGATCATCAATAACGGCGTTGTTTAATCATTAGATGATGTAAGCATTGCACTTTTTGTCTCTTCGGTGTTCATTAGAGTGGGTATGGCCACTAAGCTACGGAGCCATACTTCACAGTTTTTCTCGGCTTCCATTTTCTGAAATTTTTTTCAACTTGTAAATTATAATTTGAAAAGTAAACTCTTAAGATACAGCTTTATTCAAAGGACGGAAATATGATTAATTTCCGCGTACGATTTCTGCGATAATTTTTGTTGTATTGCCTTCCAAGTGCCTTACTTACTTACCACCTGAACAATTTCATTGTGATTTTGACGATTCCTTTTCCTTAGAATAAGTTTCTATTTGAGGTCACTATTTTCGGAAAAGTGCTTTTAATAGCTTTTATATTGCTTTGCAACCGCTTCTAAAGGAACGTGGGGAAACCATTATTCTTACTCAAATGCCAAGAAAAGTGTTCTTTAGTCCTAACTGTTATCAAATATCAGTTAACTAATATTAAAAAGGGAGAAGGTTGAATAGGTTTATACCTAACCCAACGGAAACCATCTCTTTACGCTTCTTTGCATCGGAACTTTTTAAGATTCCCACAGGCGTAGTTACAAAATTCGTCGGAGAAATTCGTATCTTCCAATCTACGCTTTAGCAGTTTGTGCATGCCCATCCCGCGATAAATTTCACATATTCTGCAACATACAAGTCTTATCCTAGTTCTGGCGATCTTGAGTCCTAATAGCCACTCCCGAAGCTAGCAACACTAATCATGCCATGGGCTCTCCTCAATCTCTTCTTTAGGTTCGAGGGCTTGTCATCCAACAATTCGGACGCGAACTGTCCCCTTCGAAGTGGTTTGGTAAGATCGGTGTATCATCCACTGGGTTCGCAGATCATTATGTTAGTGATATTGAATCTTGAAGGAATAAAATCTGTCCTCAACACTTCGTCGATAATATTGGCGTTTCCTTAAATCGCATCATTCGCTCATTTCGCTGCCGTGCGGCCTAAAGGAGGGGGGTGGGGGGGTGGGGGGAGAGGAGAAAAGTTGAGAGGGATCAATTTCCATCTCATTTCTTCAGTTACTATCAATTTCGTCATCTCCTCTTGAGAAGCTCTCTTACTAATTCTTTGTTAGCCTGTACAAAGTTGCACCTGTAGTCGGACAACATCTCTTACGGAGGTCTTCTACGCTCGATCATTTTATAAAAGGTCAGGACGTAGGCCATTTCGCGACGTACTACTCTTTTTGGTTAAGTGTGCGAACAAACCCAATCTATGCTTTTTTCCACGTGTCCATAGCCCCTCAATGATGAAAAATGGACCTCCAAAGTCGACTGCTGTGGACAGTTGCTTGTGGTATGATGTATAGAAGTGGAGCCACAATGTCTCCGTTAAAATTCACTGCGCATGATTTCCTATTTCAAAATTTCGTCACGTTCAGGTATGATTCAGTGTCATGCTAAGGTGAGGTCACTTCCTCGTGTACTTCTCTTTTTGGGGTAATTTTTGACCATTAGATCAGTGTCACGCTTTCTCCTGGGTTGGATTATGGGGAATCTTATGTCGTGTGATCGAGACTTGCATCTCATTGAACCTTCTTATCTAATTTTCTGTGTAATTCTAGCAACTTGCTTTTATTCGACAATACCACTCCGCTGAATGCCTCTCGTTGGCTCTTCCATGACTTTACATCTTAAGTTGATAAAACGAAAAAATCCCTCAGTGTGGCCACTTATCAACCTGGTTCAACTCTAAAATCGTTTCGGATGACGAAGCTGTTGCTCTTTGTCAAGTTCAACTGTTTCTTGTGAAATTGTTTCACAAATTTTCAGCGCAATTATCCAGCTATTTGGTTCTTCTTCATTATCAAATCCAGAGTTGCTCCACAATGTCACTTCTTTGGCCATATCTAAGAATGGGCTTCTTCACAGAGAATCACTACTGGATTTCACCTGGTGGAACGTAACCCCATTGCTTGTGGTTGGTCGAGCTTTGAATTGGGCCCTATTGATTAGCCACGATAGGTGAAACTATTCACTTCTTCCTCTAATCCACCAAAGCACGCTCTCACCGTCACACCAAAAGATTTCTCTAGCCAGCTTACGATTCAGAACGTTTGGAAGAGTTTCACTTTATCATGGAAATAAAGCTGCTGCAAGCAAATGAAAACATGAAATACTCGTTGCCATACGTAAAGTCACGCGTGTATTTCCTAACAGCCACTCACCCGAAGAACAAACCTCTCTGCTAATCAATAAAACGGCTTCACTTGTGTCTTAAAAGAATCTAAGGAATATCGAGGTGTCTTCAAAGAAGGGCGGTCCTCCAATTCGCCAATTACTTTCTTGTCTTATTAATCAGTTATTCAGGGATGTGCAATTCCTTTCTAATCCAGAAAACCACATTTGTTAAGGCGTCTTCTTCAGGCAGCCATTATAGTCATTTTTACTTCACAGTTGGTAGTGGGTCCTTGTCAATTCAAAACTGTGATATTCAGTGCTGAACCTCTTCCTCTCAATCTCGTTCAACTTTAAAAACGTTTCGCACCTCTAAGCTTTTGCCTCCTTGTTTCTGATTGCCTTACTTCGCAATTTTCTGCCAATTCCTTTTTCGTCTAAAAAAGCGTCTGGGTAAGTGCAACTATCGAGTCATGCGGCTCTTTTATTACGATAAATCCAGGGATACTCCACAATGTCACTTCTCTGGCCATTTTATGAAACTGTCATTTAGTGCGGATTAAAGTTGAATTCCTCTGTTTGGAGCGTAAAGCCATTGCTTGCCACTCGCTTTTTTCGCTACAACTGGTCGTCTGCATATCAAATCACTCGTAAAAACCTGAAGAATTTATGAAACACTTTCGTGCCGGCGATCCTCCAATAGTCCTGAACCAGTACATAACCAATCCAGCTGTCTTTACAACGTAGTACCTTGATCATCGGCCGGCACAGAATTGAAGTCGTCATCCATGTGGGTGAACTTCAACACTGTCTTCGCTGTCATCAGAGGGTCGATTTCTAGTTTTTCAGAGTGCGTTTAGGTCACAAATTGAGACTGAAATGGCGATGAGTTGATCCCGAAAACTACTGGACTGAATTCGTACTCCTCAAGCCATTCTTGTTAACTATGATCTCTTTTTCACAGTTTCTCCCATTTGGGTTTTGCAGAAGCAATTTTCGATACATTTAAATAAAAAGAATGAAAAATTTCAGCAATGCAACAATTTAACAGAGAAAACATAGAAACCACAAGGACAATCCGTTCTTGGATGCAACTTAATTCTCAAATACACCGCAACGACACCAGTAAGACAGCGTTTACGTACTTGTGTGATTTTGGTGCTAAGTAAACGACCTTATTTTTAAAAGTATACGTCCTCGCACTGTATACTGAGGATGCATCAAACACTAAGCAAGTTTTAGATAAGGCTCTCTCAGGTCGCACAACAGGAAATGAAGTAGGCACCACTTTATCAATGGCTGCACCTCAATTTTACGAACGCAGCCCTTCGTAGTATTAGCAGATGCTGCTTGAGTAAACGTCAGTAATCTTTGGTCTTACCAAAGTTGTAATTTTGTGTCGATCAGTCTTCAGTCTATAGGCTTATGATTTTGAGGCAGGTTTGGTTTATCCTTCTTTCCAGAATGGTACACACAAAATAAAAGAGAATTCGCTACAAGGAGAAGCCTCCAAGAGGGCGTAAATCAATTCCAACGCAGCAAGGATACCCTTTGAAAGTAATTGCAAAATTCCTCTGTAATCGAAAGTATTGATGAAGGTGTTAAGAGAACGTAGGCTGCGTTTACCACAGAGCGAGAAACGCGTTAGCTGAGAAAACATTCCACAAAGAGAAGTTCCCGTACCCGCCAAATAATGAATTTCTTGACTGGGGTCGATTACGCCAAGACAATTTTAAGCAATCTATTTGAATTACTATTGCAAATATCCTATCGACCAACTTTAGATCTAAAATATGTTTGAGGGCTATGATTATCTCCCATAAAATGATAATTTGTCGTGAATTTCACTGGAGATTCCCATCCGTCTTTTTAATTCGATTGTATCGCATCTCCACACTCCACAGCGACCATCACACAAGCGTAAAATCCAGGCTTTTCCGGTTTCCTAGTATTTTAAGTTCTTCTAGCTTAAAAACCTTGAATTACCATTGCCGTTTGAACCAGTTATCCGCTAAGAGTTTGCAAAATGATGGTAGAAAATTATGCTTTTTGAATGATAAAGTCACTTAAAGTTTCTGTATAACTTTTCACGCCCATATTTTCCACAAAATCGACATTCACGATGAAGAACCACTCCCTGCTCAAACACATACAGTTACCAACGTACATTAACAGTATAGCCGAAAGAGGCAAAAGAACGAGACGTTTAATTAAAGGAGGATAAAGGAGGAACATCGACCAACAACTGAGGCAACCCTAAACATATTGGCAATCATCAAACCGTAAGGAGAATGTGGAGCAACAATTATCCTCCTTTTATTACAAGGAAATTGAATAGAGAGTAGCAATGTTGCAAAACAGCAAAACTGAAGAGAGGAAAGGACATTGCTCTGAAATAACCACATGTAAGTCCAACACTGACCACATCGGCGGTGGCTTTACACTGGTTGTCTCAAAATCACATTAAACAAGGTTAGAATAACAAATATCTCGGTGTCAAGTAAATTTACTCACAGCTTCTCCTTTACAGACTTGAGACGACCCATGAGCCCATTTCCACCCATGATTCGAGGGGCGATTGGTTTCACAGAGTGTGACTGACTGATCCAGAGAAGCCTCCGATGAAGTTCTTTCTCGACAGGGTACTCTATACTTCTCTACCGTCTGACGAAGTTCTGTCCAAAGATGTGCATCAGAAACACCAGCCTGTAATGCGCTATTCGAGTCTACCACGCCGGTAAGTGTTGTTCTTGTTGTTACGAACTGGATCTTTTGTGTGATCAATTTTCCACTGCGTAAAATAATGAGCCTTGCCTTTGTCGGATGGAGAACTGTCAAGGAAAAGCTCTGATTTGGTAGCGCTATGGATGAGATTCTTCCTGGGTCACTTTGCTGAAGAAGTTGCAGAGCAACTTTTTTGAACATGAAACAGCTTGTTTGCTCATCGTCAAAGTTCATCTGTGTAATCTTCTGACGCATCGATGTTTCTATCTCAAAGATTGTCTCTTTATGGGGTATATCATTGCTTGGAAGTCCTGACAAACAAAGAGGCAACAAATTGATTCGACTTCCCGTAGACAAGATGTCTTGAAGGCCACATGTCGCTGATGGAGTCAGATCCACAATGACCTGCGTTGCACGGCTTTTGTCTTCAGCTTCAAAGCACGTTCTTTGAAAGCACTCTTGTACCGCAAGTGAGATCTTTTCCTTTAGAGAATGGAGGTCATCGATATCTAGAAAGACTGGTGATTTGCTGGCCACCAGAAAAGCATTTCTAGGTGCATTTTCCATGCACGCCAGGCTGCGGAACAGCTGTTTGTCGGCGGCATCGCCTTCCACGTCGCTCTCTTTCGGACCAATTTCAGAGGAAATAAGGATATCTTGTAAAGCTGTTTTCCCATTACAGTTTATTACAGTTCTTGAAGCATAAACCTGAATCCCATCGAGGAGCAACAATAGGGAGTCCGTTTCGTTTTGAAAAAGCTTGCAATATAGATCATAGGCTTCGAAGGTCGTGTCATTCATTTTTAGTTCTATGCAAAACAGCAGAAGAGAAATTATTACAGGCTTCAAGTCTTGTTTATGGTCAAACTCTATCGTTGGCGCAACTCCAGTGGTTTCTTCGATGATACTCTTAGAACTTCTTTCTTCCATGATTTTGCCAAGGGCTTTCACAAAGTTTCTAAAGTTCTGTTCTGGCTTCAACGTCTCATGATAATTAAATTTCCTCCAAAGGAATATGTTGTGTAGGCGTGCAACACTCACATCAGGGTGACCTTTGATTGCACGTGCTTCACAATGCATGTCTGCGTGTTGGAAAAAGACGACAGCTTCCTCTATCATTCCACAACGGAGAAGCTTTCGTCCACTCTTAAGAAAATCAAATGAATACTTCAAGGAGAGAGTCGACCTCGATATTGAACAGGGATCTTTTGTTTTCCTCGAGGTGACCGTTTTTCCATCAGCTCCGCATTTCCTCAGGTGACGGTTACTGTCATGGTTTAACAGTGTGGCCAAGACATAACCATACTCAGCGACCAAACCTTCAAGTCCATGCTCTGACACTCTCTGTCTCTTAAAGGTTTTGTAACTCCGAATAATTTCCATGTACTTAATTGACAATTCCTCCTCAAATGACACTTGGAAAATGGCCTCTATGGTCTTAGTGGCTCTCTGGTAGTAAACGTAAGATTCATCTTTTCGACCTAGTATCGATGTCACATCACCAAGATATAGGTAGCACTTGAGAAGGAGAGGATTTTTAACGCCGAAGATTTGTTGCAGAATGTCACTGGAACTTTTGAACTTTGCAGCGGCGCTAGGGAATTTTCCTGTAATACTCAAAAGTTTGCCTTGTTTATACAACAGGGAGGCAACGATGAAATGATATTCTCCAAACACAGTTTTAAGGATTTTGACAGTTGTCTGCACGAGCTCCAAAGCAGTTTTGATCCTCCCTTTACAGATGTAGACTGCTAATAACTTCTCAAGAGCCTCGATTCTCACGTTCATGTAAAGGTCTCCAAACCTGTCCACAACATCTTCAAGTGAATTCAAGGTTTCAATGCTAAACACTTCATCAGCCTCCTTCGGTTTTCCGTGAAGGAGCAGAACTTCAGAGAGATGCAAACGAAGGAAAGTGACCAGATACAGAGAGTCTTGCCTATCCACTTCTTTGCAATAGGATATCAGCCACTTCAATGCATTTTCTGCTTCGTTGAAGTCGCTGAAGGTAGTATGCAACACCGCGTGATTATTCATTACCGTAAATACCACTTCAAATGGATATGACATATCCTTCATTTCTGTAGCTTTGCAAATCTTTACCAATTTCTCTTGTTGGTCAAAGGCTTGAAGATAATTTCTAGATATCAGATTTAACCGGCTGATGTTGCTATTTACAGCAAAAGCTTTTGTTTCAGTTGGAAAGCTTTCCGAGTGACAAAAGTTTTCAAGGGAGGTTTTAAACGCTTGTTCTGCCTCCTGAAAATCGCCCATAATCAGATGAGCACAACCCTTATTGTTGTAGGCTGCACCAAGGTCTTGTAAACGACTAGTTGTGTTTGATTGGAGATGTAGTTGGAGCAGCAAGTCAAATGTTCTTTTCCCAATTTCATATTCGGAAATTAGCAATGAAAATGCTGCCAGGACGTTTAGCAATCCAGCGTAAAACTGTGCTCCACTTGTATTTGAATCTAAGAGTAAAGTTCCATGTTTTATTGAACAACTCACGCCCTCCTCCAGAAAGAGTTTTCTTCCGCGATTCAGTATTTGCCAGCCATACTTTGTCGGACTCTCAAAACAATGACTTTGATTTATGGACAGTATTTTGAAAAGATCTTTTACACTTCCTCGCGCATCGACAATTTTGTCACTTTGGTGGTAAACAATAGCTTCGTCAAGTTTTCGAACAGCAGTGTCACTGATTTTCCGAGAATACACGTCAGGCCCCCAAAATGCCGCTCTAGGATTTAATCGATCAACTGCATCTGATTCAGCCCAGGCCAGTTGCTTTAGAATTTTCTCACCATCCTGCATGTCCCCAGTGTTACTCTCTGTCCCGGCAATATGAAAGTCAGTGTCCCATTTCCGCTCTTGCAAATCATTCTCATACATTTTACACGCGGCTTCTGGTGGAGTAACCTTAACCCTCCTGGTATATTTGACTTGTATGTTGCGCGCTAATAGAAAATATTCAAGAAAACAATAACTGTTACTTTATTACGTAAAATGGAGCTTCTTTTGATTAAAAGCTTAAATGCACACATCTGAACTGACTAAAAGTGAGGCTGACCCATTGGAATTTTTTCTAGTACACTTCTGTTCCTTAATCATTTCCATTATAACATAACCTAGACACAACGCGCGCTCTGATTGGTCAAAAATTTATTGTGTTTTTGCCTGTAAGCCCGTAGGAAAAAAAGGTCCTCTCGTCCTATGACATGGTGCCACACGGGGCGAATTCACAGATTTTTATTTTTTAAAGGCCTTTAGTTTGGAGGAAAGGGAGAGGACATTTTGAACGCCAAAAACAACGAGAGAACTGGCGCAGCTCCTTAAATATTTTCACTTCGGTTTTCTCCAAAACGAAAGGGGGCCAAGCATTTTACCCCTTATTTGATTTTAAGCATAAACTTTTTTTTATAAGACAAGTGAACTTAACGTATTACTATTTACGAGTGAAACCGCAAGAAGATGCTTATATTTGGCTAAAGAGCAGAATACTTTCACTACAGTTATATCGTCTGAAGCTTTCTTTACTGTGAAACCGTTTTACCGGTGACTAATAAATTGGTAGCACAAGCTTTCTTAGTAGTCCTAGTCCTGTAGTCATTTAGGTATTCAAAAAGGGTGATGATTTTCTACCGTGAATGCGGACGAAATGAAGCGGTAAATAAATTGCCCATATCGTGATTCATTAAAGGCAATTTAGGGACTAAGATTACAGCGCTAATTGAATGGCTTTTCTCCAAACTTAAAGGAGACTCCACCCTTAAAATCTTGCTTCCTTCAGCCTCTAGTAGTTTAAGATCGATTATTTGCTTGGAAACCTTTTTTACGTTCTTTTGTTTCAAGCTAGCATTTTGGTTTTTCGCTGGTTGAATGTAAAACGTAAAACGTTATCAAAAGCATCGTGATTGTCATAAAGTTTTCTCATGTTTGATAAATTCCAGTATTTTGTGATATTTCTGTGTCCTGGAGAAATGCCGGATCATGCAGCACTGCTTTTCTATATTCCCCAGAAGTCGGGAAAATACGATAAACTTGACGATAAGCATTTACTTTACGGTTGAGCTAAAAAAAGAGAAAAAATCAGTAAAAGAAATGTGAAACCCTGTGTATTGTAAACCCAAGTGTTAAATAAATTACTCATTCTCAGTGCAATCAATATCTACCTCTTGAGGATGGGATTCCCCTCGAAACTTGACCGTGGGGACGTTTACGCTTCTCAATGTATGATACAAGCATTGCTTTGCCATTCTTGATCTCCTCCGCCAAGAAGGATAGAACCCTGAACGGTGCAATCATCTATGAAAGAAATGTGTCGGAAACTTACTTACTTAGGTAGCGAACTTATGGCACTTAATGCAACTTTGAGTATTTCCATTTAACACTTTTCTCCAGAAATGCATCCTTTTCCCGTTTGTTTACAAGTAAGTACGGATCTCAGTACTGGTACTGGAGTCAGTTGCCTTTAACTCCTAATTATCTTACAATTTAGTGCAGCTTTGTTAAATAGTTTAGCCCAATAATTCGATTAAGTATCCCCGTAAAAGAATGCTCGTCCAAAAAAATGCCGAGTGACCATGACAAAACTGACTTCAAAGTTATGTTTGTAAGCCGGTCAATCATGCATGAATAATGATTAATAAAGTGTTAAATATGTAATTATCAGTCACAGCGGGCATCGCGTTTCTTTCTAACCGAAAACGAAATTTCGACCAGTGTTAAGGTATTTTTAGCTTTTCTTTCATTTCATTATAATTTTTTTTTTTTTGACAAAAAAACTAATTGTTCCGCTGGTTCCGGAGGTTCCGCGTTCTGCTGATCTATAATTTAATAACACCCGTCACACTCAGTCTCTGACCAGTGGAATTTGTCAGTTTGTAATTTAAGATCCAGCCGACACATCCCAGATGGAGATTTTAACAAATAATATGCAAATCAACCTTACCTCAGAATTTCTTCTTTGGGATTTAATTTAAAGCCAAGGTTTCATCTCTACTGGTCAGCTTCCTACTGAAAGAGAATGACGTCAACAAAAGGGTTTTCAATAATCAATATTTGCCGCCTATGCAATCGGTGAACATATAGAGAAACATTGATGACACGAAATGAGTGAATATACGTGGGTGCTTCGTTAACATCTTCATCAAATTTCCTAGTGAAAAAATAAACATCAGCTAGTGGATGATAAATGCGACAAAAAAGTAAAAAATACGTAATCTAATACGGAAAATAATTCGTTGTTGCTAAATGTCCGGCAGCCGGGCACAGTCTCAAATAGACTATTAAAATGCCCGGCAGTCAGAAATTTTCACAGAATTTCGATTGACAGGTTCTTACAAACTTGTTAAGAATACAGATATTCGTCTAGAATTGTCAAGTAATTCCAAAAATTAATTTGTTTACAATAATATCGCTCGATTGCCGACAATTAGAAAATCCTACGCTTCTGATCAGACTGCCGGGTACGGTATCAAATAGATTATACGTCCGGCAGTCAGAAGTATTCACGAAAATACCAATGCCATTCAACTGCCTCCGAGAGCAGTAAAATTATCTCCCAGAATGCTGGCAAAAGTATCGGCGATCATCAGTGGTACTCACAATAGTAGCAGTCGTCGTGGTGAAGCACTAGTGGTCATTGTAGTCGTACTAGTACAAAGTACGGTATCATTGAAAAAAATCACATTTATTTTGATTTAAAAGGGTAAATGGACGCCTCAAAGAAAGGGAGAAAATATTTGACAATCATAATCCACGACTGCTATCGAAAACGACTCACTTAAATGATTTTTCTTTGTGTCAAAAAGTATTCATGCAAATAAGTGTCACATCATGACGTCAGAAAGCGTAACAAACAAATGGGAAGAAAGATCACGCGTGTAAACATTTGCCGAACGTTACCTAAATCTGTTTTCGCTTTCCATGCTTTTGACTGATTTAAATAAGAACAAGAAATTACAGGTCTTGAATCAACAAGTATCAGAAATTGTCACGCTAGTCGAGCACTCTGCTGATCGCCTGAAGACCAAATAAAGATAAGCAAACCCCTTTTAACAAATTCAAGCGCAATTCCCATAAAAAAAAACGATTTTAGGAATTATTTTAATTGAAAATTTCATCCTAATTTCGCGTTTGGAAACTCAACACACTCTTTTTGGGTAGTAACAGACAACCATTGCCTCTATCAGTACACAGTATGCTATTGCAAATCGAGAGCTACGGTCGGCTGTTTCTTTTAGCCATGTGTAGATAAAAGACCACTAATATATACATAATAGCATAATATATACTTTAGGCGGACTTTTTAACGTAATTCTAACTTTTGAGAGTAGAACTTCCTTGCTATGATGTTCTGCTGCTTTCTGATAAACAGAGTTCCATCGATGTTACGTTACACATACTATTTAGTTATAATGATGTTCAACACAATGAAGCTTACCTTCAGCTGGCGAATCGCCGCTTTAAAGCGTAACTTGTAACCAATTCTGGTTCGACTGAAAAGTAAATCAAGCCAGAAGGGTTAGTTCAGCATTTTGATGGATCATCGAAGGCGTGAACGGTCTTTGTTGTTGTCAGACCTCGATGAGTCACGTGGTCATAAGGAAGTTTAACCAAATATAGCAAGAAAACCATAACAACAATGGCAGGTAATTTAGTGCTAACAACTGGGTTGAAAACGTAAATTAGCGACCGTAAAAGGTAAAAAAGCTGACGTTTCGAGCGTTAGCCCTTCGTCAGAGCGAATCGAGCTAATCGCTCTGACGAAGGGCTAACGCTCGAAACGTCAGCTTTTTTACCTTTTACGGTGGTTAATTTACGTTTTCGACCCAGTTGTTAACACTAAATTACCTGCTATACTCTCCCACCGACGCAGCACCACAGTTTCTTTAGAAACTTACCCCTTTATTCATAACAACAATGGGTTCAGTTCAAAATTACCCATCGAATTTCATTGATCGATATGTGAGATTGGAAAAGCACTACACGAGAAATATGAATCATTGTGCGAGAATGAAAAACTGTCATGCGAGGGTTTAAATTACCCATCGAGAATGAGAAATTGTTGCGTGACGAAAAGAAATCACTCCGAGATGTTATCGATTGGTTTCTTTGAGCCGGTAAGCAACAGCTAATCAGCAAAGTGTATTTCTCTGAAAGTGGCGGAGCATCCTTCGTGGGGAAGACTTTACAGAGTTTGTCCATTCTCTAAGGAGCACCATGGAAAGAACCGCCTCTGTTTATCAAGCATCTGATCATGTAGGATTAGAAATCTGCGCTAAGAGGCTTAAAGAACACTCAAGAATGCTCATCGCCATATCACTGTCTCAAAATTCAGACCTGTTTGAGGTGGGAGAATTGTCCTAAGCCGTGTTATCGAGAAAGACGTCAGATATTTTAAATGCATCAAACTTTTATCCAAAGGAAAAAATTCTGTTGACATTCTCTGCTAGTCCAGGAAAAAGACTGGCCTACATTATTACAAAGGAAATGATCGAGCTACTGCGTGAGACTATTATGACTCTGGAGGAGTATAGCAACATGTCTTGGAATCTCCGACCAAACACCATACAAATGAAGGATCGAGTTTGGAGTAAAATAGTAAAATAATAAAATAGTATAACAGATATTACGGATGAAGAATTAGACACGCAGATACAGCAGACCCTCAATTTTAACGCCCCATAGTGGGGAAACCTATGTTAGAGGCAGTCTCAAGGTAGTGGTATAAATGTTCAACGGATCAGAATCAGAGAAAGCTTGAAAAAGACAAATGGTATTGGTAGAGCTATCCGACGTCGGTATGCAATCTGTCAAGGGAATTTCAATGTCACTAGCCCAAATTATCTGTGGCACATTGACTCAAACCATAAGTTAATCTCATGGAGATTTGTCATCCATGGATGCATTGATGGCTACAGCAGAGCCATAGTATATCTGGAATGTCGCACAGACAAGAGAACAAGTACTGTGTTTCAATATTTTTAGCAAGGGGCACAAGAGTCTCCCTTCCGGGGTTTGAGGTGACTAGGTGAGGGTATGGAGAATGTGGATGTAGCAAGGTACATGATCATTAACTTGGGATCTGACAAGAGGTAGATTCATTGCTGGTAGAGGTGTCCACAATCAGCGCATTGAAAGGCTATGGCCAGAAGTTGACAGAGTGACTTCAGCACTTTACAAGGATTTGTTTGATATCCTTGAGAGAGGTGGAACTTTGGACTCGCTGGATGAGTTACACCTGGTGGCTTTGCAATATATTTGTGCACCATTCCATTTTAGACCTGCTTAAATGGTGAAATTTAAAATGTTTCAAATCTAGCTCAGTGATGGATTTTTGGAATGAGGAAACCCTAAATTGTTTAAAAATATTAATCTGAAAGTTGACTCTGTGGAAATGGCAAAGAGAGGCTGTATATTTTTGTCCTGTGAAAAGTGTGTGAAAATAGTTGGCATGCTGTAAGATTTTAAATGATTTTAATAAGCCACATTTATTCCCAAAATCTCACCATGGGAACAAAACTAATTGAACTCAACACAAAGGTGAACTTGCAGATAAGATTTTTTCCAAAATGGATGTACTTCGTAAATGAGAGCAAGTAACAATTTTGTTACAGACATCATGTAATGTGCATGATTAAAAAAGTCTTTTTTTCTCTAAAAATTAAAACCCTTTTTTTTTGTAAGCTTGGCTCCTTTTTCAGCTTTTAGGGGCCCAAACTTAAGTGCTGTAAATGATCAAAATCCTGGAAAAACACCAGAAAAAATAAAGCCTACACTATATTGCAGACATTACATTATGGACATTGCATTCAGTACAGAAGTAATGTTAGAGAAATTACATCATGGACATTATGACTGAATGAAATTTATTATAGTAATTCTTTTGGAAGAAACAAATGCTACATGCAAACCAATTTTGTCCAAATTTATCACATCCAAGTTTACAGTGCTTTTAACTAGTAAACAATAATAACAGTAATCATATCAACAACTGTATATTGACAATTGCAACACCATGGTGACATGAGAAGTATTAATTTTCAAAAAGTGTAGGTCCAATTGTGAAATAAATTTACTGAAAGACATCATGTTAAGAGTCAGTACCTTCTTTTAAAATATCTGGAGAAAACAAATTTTAAAAAAATGCAATGTTTCAGAAATGTAACTCAAAACAAGTAATACTTCAACTTTCAAAGGTTATAGCACTGATAATGACTGTCCTTATACTACAGGGAAAATTGTCCATTCATACAGTTCAGTGCAATGTAACTTTCCAAATAGTGTCAACTGGCCTATTAAGATTCAATAAATGGTACTATGACAAGATTTTCAGGACAATCCAAGTTCAGTAATTAAAGCAATGTTTAATGACTGTGATCTGCAGTTAGTTTGACTAGTTATTTGAAAACATTTCCTTTTTGAAAATATTTGAACAGCCTCTCAATATATGAAAGACTTGGAATATTGAAAGGTCTAGTGCCTTTTAGCTCTATGGAGTCATAGAAGACTCTTCTCTTGTGGACAATATCACTATTGCTCCTTAGAGGCCAGTCAAATGTTTCCACAACTTGGCAAAGAAGTTTGATTTCAACTTCATTATCAGTAATCCTAAGGGCTCTTCCATTGTAAATCTTGGTTCCATACTAGAAATCTAATCTGCACTGTATCTCAGAAAGCAAGAACCAAAAGACAGCAGAAACACTAGTTAGAGCTTGCTCAATAAAACTGAATTGTAAAGAGCATGCTCCATATGGGTTACTCCACAGACCACAGTCTGGCACATGTATATACACACAAACTGTAGTAATAATGTTATGGTTATCAGCACAACCAGGAAAGAAAATTAACTTGTAATTGAGCCTGATTAAGAATACATGTATCAGTTCTGACAAAGTCAATTATCAAAAGTTCATAAATAAACAAGGACATTCCCTTATCCTTCATGATATAAAAAAAAAGTTTCACAGTGTAATGTCCATGACAAAAATCATGCAATGTCCATAACAGCAAGTCTTTAACTCAAGGTCAAAATCTAACTACAGAATAAGGGATAAAACTAGATTTTAAGGAGCTATGAAGCACCTTTGTTCTCATTATAATTAAATGACTTTTGTCTGAAGAGTCAATTCACAGAAAATAAGTGTCAAGTGAACACATTAAATTGTAGGTTGACAATATTGTTTGTAACAGAGTTTCAAACAAAAATATTGGCAGCCTCTGTTAAAGAAAGGAAAGTTTCCTCTCTTCTGATTGTCAATTATCCTGTGAGGAATGTTTGAACAAATATTCAAAACTGTGCAAAATACGTTTGTTAAGGAAATGAGTTTCTAAAAATTGGTCTCTGAGTGTAATGTCCGCAACATGGAATTGCCCTTATATTCCTCTCATCAGTGCCTCTCTAGGTGAGTTTACAAGCCAGTAGTATTATCATGGTATTAGAATAGTAAGCCACCAAACACCCTTGGCAATGTGGTGCACTGGATTACTCACTGCTCCCAAGGAATTAAATTGGCAGACATATAGAATTGGCAGATGTATGTGGCAAACAAATTGGCAGACACATGGAATTGATTATGATAGTCCATTGGCTGATATTGAAACAGACAACAATGTTGTTGTGCCATGCAGAGTCACACAGCCAGCTTACAGATCACCAACTGCAGGAATTACTTCATAAGACTGGCCCTCTCTCTGATGATGGAAACAATGGAATAAACTACTTTCTGTACACTGTGACAATCACTGAAGGTTTCACTGAGCAATGAATTTAACATTTATCAGCTTCTAGTTAAAACGATTTTGATATTTCAATCCTGTGATGATGATGGAATTACATTCACATGATCATTGTTATCCTTCCCTTACATAGGCTTCATAAAGATGGAAAAGCTTACTGCAGACTCTGTTCATTAAAACTAAAACGTTGGGAAAGTCAACCAGTCATGAGATTGAAGTTACACTGTTGTGTTCAAAGCTTGTATGATGAAATGGTTTTAATTTTTTTGAGTAGTTACAAAATTGAACTGAAAACTGAGAGAGGATGAAATTTTACTTGCTTCATGATTTGTCTGGACGTTAAAAATGAAAGTAATGATATTTTTTAACAGCTCTCACAGGTATAGTTGACCCCTCAACAATAACTTCAAGTATGTCTCTTGAATTTTGATGCTTTAAATCTTGATAGAATGCTGTTATTTTCACTGATTTATCATCAAACCATTTTCACATTTGCAGATGCATTAACTTAGTGGTGTATTAGTAGTCCATGAATGCAGTTTTATTGCAAATTGAAATTCAGGCATTGATTTCTTAGAAGGCATCTACTGGTAGTAAAAGCAACATGTCATTTTTTACTCTAAGTTGTCCCATTCCAAGGGGCTGACAAATTAATATCATGTCATTTAATGACCTCTTACACTTACAATTAACCCTTTATACCCTAACATCAGTATGCAAATTTATACAGTTCTCGATACATCTCCTATTGTGCTGGCAAGGAGAATTTGTGTAACAATCAAGAGGTTCTTCAGTTGATTATCATTTCCTTTATTCGTATAACCTTAATGTTTGATTCAGGGGTGATATTTAATGGAGAAAGGTATAAGGGTTGCCAATAGCAACCCTTATACCTTTTTGTATGAAAATGTCATAACATAAAAACTGTAACACTGCATGAGGAGCAAATTTCATAATGTTTAAAGAGTTAATTTCAAAGTGTTGATTTGAAGCGTGTTCAAAATGTTAGAAGTGTTCATTTCTAAGCATTCAGAGTGTTCATTTCAAATTGTTCACATCTTTCAAACTAAACAATTCAAAGGATGCACTTTCTGCTTCAGTTGTTGGTTCAGCTCTGAATAACTTAATGATTTTCTTGGCTGTTGGCTGTTTGCACTAGCAAGATGCTGAGTTTATCGAGGGACTAAAAGCTTTCCATAGAACAAAATACCTTGAGAATTGGAGTCTAGCGGTTGGTCACATATCTTGGCTTTTGAACAACTTCCTGATGGACAAGCTCAATGATTATGGCTTCAATGTTGTTCTTACTTGGTGCTTTAAAACAATTGAATGATGTAGGAAAGTCTAATACATTTTCATCTCAAGGTTCAAAATCATCACTAAGGCACTTGTCCTATTTTTCTCTATCTTCTGTAGCTACAAATTGTTATTAAAGATTGTTATTGAAGCCTCTGAAGTGATAACATCATCCCCATAAAGACACAGGGCCACAAAATGATGTGACAAATTTATGGGAAGTAATTTGCCCATTGGTAACCATATAACAGCACGCGGACCATTTCCATTTTGAAATGGTAAGTTTGTTACAATTTCGAACTATTTCGACCGAGCGTTGATCAAAATACACAATCGATATCTTGCATTTCGCTGGATTTGTTCCTTACACAAAACAACTCACACCACGTTCTCAGCCAATCAGATGCAAGACATCTGTCGTCGCGACTTGATCACTTTCATATTCGTTCGCTTCATACAGGTTGTTTGTTTCTATTTTGAGTTTTCACCGGGTCCTCGCAAAATTTCAGAAAAATTTCAAGTGCGTGTCGGCTGTCCTGAATGTATTATGGTTGTAAAGTTTCGACGATAGGCGCCATAATTTTGTCTGAATAGCTGGAAATAGGTCCGGTGAGTCAACTACAGGCAGGTTTAAAATGCGTGCAACTTGCAGAACTTGCATTTTGATTAAGGCTCGAGCTTGGATTACGTTGTCTACCATGCGAGTCTTTAAAAACACGAGATACTTCAGCATACACATCAAGAAGTTGACGCGCGCAGTTGCTGATCTGATTGTTGCACCATCTTGCCCGACTCCAGAGAACGAAGACGCCCTGAAGATGAGAGAATTTCCCGCCAAAATACACGCGCTGACTAGCTGTTGCTCACCGGCTTAAAAAACCAATCGATAATCTCGCATAATGATTTCTTTTTCCCACGCAAAAACTTTTCATCCTCAGTAGTTAATATTCATTTCCTAGTATATTGCTACATTAGTCTTTTCCTCGATTACTGTTTTTTCAGTCAGTTGATGGGTAATTTAAAATCTCGCATGGCAGTTTTTCTTTCTCGTACAGTGATTTATATTTCTTATGTGGTGATTGCCCAATCTCACATATCGATCATTGAAACTCGATAGGTAACTAGTTGAACTCAACCTACCCTTGTCATGTTTGGCTTGCCATACCGAGGCTTGGGTGATGATTTTTTATTAATTTTGTCGGTTCTTCTCAGAAAACGCCCAAAAACGAAAGGAAACTCTTCCGTAAGTTCACAGAAAAAGGGTCAAATGTATAAGCTCAAATCAATCTACAACGTTGGTTTTTCTTCCAACTGTCAGTATTTTCACGAAGCCATAGAGTTAACAAGAGGTCTGTCACTAAAAACAGTCTTTTCACTGAACAAGGAGCAAGGAGCTCCGAATCTCGTTTGCCTGGAATCCAGTTGAACTGGATGCAGTTGTTATCGACAGAAAAGAAGTAGAAGTTGTAAGTACCGTCAAGTTGCTGGTACTTACTATAGGCACTAACCTAACTTGGAATGCACACATTGAAGAAGTGGTTAGGAAAGCTAGTAAGCGATTGCATTCCTTAGTACAGCTCAAACGCAATGCGTGTGCAAGGTAATCGGTGGTCATTTATGCCGTTCTGGTATTTTATAACGCCTTGCCGCAATATCTCACCAACGAGCTTATTCGTATTGAGAAAAGGGCGATCTCGATCATTATGCCCGGCACGAGCTACAACAATGCATGCGAAATCCTTGGCATAACACCAATAATGGTGATCATATTGATTCATTATGTGATAAGCTATTTCATAGCATCGCATCTAATGAAGACAATACGCTGAACAGCATACTTCCGCCATCATATAAGAATCCAATGTATACTTTAAGAAACTATCGCCTTTATAATGTGCCACATGTCTGCACCAATAGGCTAAAGAACTCTTTTATACTTGCAATGGCCGCCAAACAAATCGAATTTTATGGGTAAATTTTTATTAGTGGAACTTTAAACGATCATTTTAGGTTATTTTCCAAATTATATATCATAGCTGTAAGAAGTGTATTAAGGTTTTATTATAATGGTCATCATTACTAGATCTCAAGAAACGTATTTAACACCTACGTTATACTTCAGTCATTATTGCAACTTTTATAAATCTTAGTATGTAAAGAATTGCGTAATTCAGCTTTTGGGCTGCAATGTGATTTAAAAATACCTACCTACCTGGTCAGTTCAAAAAAGGCTAATAAATTACATAATTCAGGAACTGGGTCCTGATGGTTCATCCGGTTATAGCAATTTTTCGTTAGTTGTTAATTTTTGAGTTCATTCATAACAGCTTCAGCTGACGGGTTTACTCTGGTTAAATATGTTATTATTATAATTATTATTATTATTATTATTATTATTATTATTATTATCATTATTATTACCATTATTATCACCATCATTAACAATAACATTAGCTCCTTCATAGTTTTATTAGCAGTAGCTTGAATAAAATCAGTGACCAACCTAAAGTTAATTCTATACATGGAACTTACCCTAGTAAGTTTTTGGATGTACATAATGTATGCTGACACCAAATAATCATCCCAATACATTACTTTAATGAACACAAATTCAACTTTGAGCGGTGCAGTCCAACTCTAGTTTTCCAGCTATTGCAGCTGAAGCAGTCTCTTATTATCACTGCGAAACGAGCGTCGAAGCCAACTAAGCCGTCGAGAGCTCTCATTTTCGTGCGCCCAAATCGTTCACCAACTCGAAAAGTGCAGGTTCGTCGCTCGCGTTTCAGCGCCAATGAAAGCCTGTTCAATGATTTTTTCCAACAAAGAATGGGAACAGGTGAATCGATTGTCTTTACTATTGTTTTTAAGACTGTTAATCCAAAATGTCGGCGAGCGGCGAGTAACTAGTGGCAGCAGTGAGTCAACTGGATAACGTAGCGGCCAACTCGCTTATAGTAAAAGACAAAAACAGAAAACTCTCAGCTTCTTACCCTGTAGATGATAAACGACGCTTTCCGCTATTGTCAGGGGTAGTTTAGTTCAACAAGGTTTTCTCAGCTTACATCACAAGTTGTGGTTTCTCGGCAGAAGCTATCCACAGTAATAAAAAAATATAACCACAAGTTATTTCAAATTTCTGAGTATTGTGTAAAAGGGAAAACCTATGTGGCTCCTTGAGTTCCCAAATGACATTCTCGGAATTGCGGTGTCTAGAAATAGTTAAGCTGTACAATTTCTAATACTACTGTATTACGTAAAATTCCCTTTCCAAAATATCCTTTCAAAAGGCTCGTTTATGTCCGTTCAAGTTTTCTCGCTAAGATATTATAGAAATGTTTTCTCAAACAATTTCAAAAGTATCCCAGAAAAGATTTTGAAACCGCCGGGCAAAGACATTCACTGTTTCAGACATCTTATTTCTATCGTGCGTATATGTTCAAGAAAAGTCTTATCCTCCGTCTCACAGTTAACCTTGAAAGTAGTATTGCGCTAAATTTTTCATTATTTTTCTGCCGGTGATTTTGCAGTGTTTGCGGGAAATGGATATTTATTCAGTGGTTATTTAAAGTGAAAATAAATAAAGCGCTGACGTAAGCAGAATTAAGATTTGCATCCCATTGCGGAAAGCTTATCTTATTTCGCAAAACCTACCTCCTAAATGGTAAAGGCATAGTCAAAGAGAAGAAGGAAGACAAGGATCCGTAGAAGTTAAATTTCTAGAGGTGACGGTTGTCTGATCATCAGACAACTTTCCACAGGATCATAGAGTAACCTCGGCCTGCAGCATTTCGACAAATTTAAAGTGAGGTCGATTTCTATCAATGCTATTCTTTATGGTGCGAAACTGAAAGGAAAACTCTGACGTTTTCGTTGTCAATTACGATCGATGAGAATCGATAGTGATCGAATATCGAAAATACTAATCGGTAACGTAAGTCAGATAAACATTTTCCAGAGACCATTGCGTAGCCACAAGCACGAACGTCGCGGTCGACTGAATACTTCATCATATAAAGTCTTAATCAGTTGGCTAGAAAATGACTTAAATCTAAATAACGAAACGCTTTACAAAGCATCTAAGCTTCAATTTTCGTGACACAGTGCAAGAGCGGAACAATATTGAATTCACCTATTCTCTAAGAATAACATTGAGATACCGTGAGGGTAACTAATAATGTTATACGTCTATGCTGATCATTCTAGTATGGATTATGACGCATTTTGTTTCGTTTCGTTTCGTTTCGAAAAGTGCAACAAACAGTGGTGATACAGACAGGATAAAAATCGCTTTTTTTACATCGTTTTTACAAACTTACCTTCCTTATCGTGATTTAAACGAGCGCTTGAATGCAGCAGTAACTTATGGAGTTATACGAAACGGCGTTCGGTTTGTACTTGTTCACATTCACATGCATGTTTGTTCTCAGCCTTCAAATACTTGTTCACGTGACCGTAAGGTTTGCATTTCAAGCATCTCGGTAGACCGTCCACCTGAGTTTTCTCTTACTAAAGAAATACGATGGGCTTTTCACGAAATTAGTCTCTATGCTAAAAGGCAAAACGAAATTGCGAAATAATTCTTTTTTTTCCAGCGGAGGGGACGAAATGTAAAACCGATATTTCAGTGGGAGTAAGAGCGGGAAAATGTCAACCAATGGCAAAGTTGTCCTTTTTAAGCACCTTAAGGTTAGCTTTGAGTTGAAAAAACAGACCCAACGGGAACAGGAGATGCAGCATTACAGATACAGATGTTTGCTTCCATTTCTACGGAAGGTAACTAAAATACACACAGCATACATAAACAAAGGCCTCCATTTGGCGCGAACATATCCACGAATATTTGTCCGCGGACATTATCTGTTGCTCGAAGCCCACAGTTTTCTTCACTTGTTTTTGCACCAAGGCTAGGCCCCTTTGTTTATCATTCTTCAAATAATCTTGCAACGCACGGAACAAATGTTTAGGAATTACTTACCATTTATTGCGTGGGATGTGCACTTCACAGTGTTCTGTGATACGACCTTATTAAGATGAACTATCAAATTTTTCCATTCTGCAACAACTACGAAACGCTGTCATTTTGAATTAAATTGTGAACGAATACTTTTCTCGAAGAAGTAGAAGAAAGGTTTTGAAATTTTTGGAATATTTAACAACTAGTGCGCTTTGGATACAAGTTGCCTATAACGAATCTCGTAAATTTTACAAAATCCTGAACGTTTGTATACTTAGAGCCTTTTTTCAGCTCCGTAACAGTTGGCGCAATGCATTTTTTTATCACGGGGTAATTAAGTATAATCAACTGAGTTGATAACGCAGATTGGCCTCCGGAAAGAGTTACAAAGCTGACATTTCGAGCGTTAGCCCTTTGTGTCAGAGCGAATGGAGGAATTGAGGGTTGTATGTGAGTTTCTATGCAGAAAAATACACACAACCCGCAATTACTTCATTCACCCTGACAAAGGGATAACGTTCGAAACGTCAGCTTTGCAACTCTCTACGGTGGCTAATTTACGTTATCAACTCAATTGATAGTAATTAATTACCTTGTTATACTCTCCCACCGACGCAGCACCACAGTTTCTTTAGAAACTTGCCCCCTTCATTCATTTTCATAGAGACTGTCTTGGGATGTGAACTGATAACCGGAGTTGAGTTGATCTTCTCCGGATTAACCAGGACATATTCAGTGACACGAAGTGTTCAGACCAGTCGTACACCAGCAAAAATATTTGATGACTTATAAACTCAAGCATACATACCTTAGAAATCTCTACATTGACTGACAGATATAATTCTTTAGGATTTAAGTTTAAACCTCATCTCTGTGATTTCACATCCCGATCCAGTGCACAAGGCTCCCCTCTGATATGCATGCTTCCAGTTATACCTGATGATTTTGAATGCCCACTAAAGATCGTTTTCACAGTAAAGCAGCTCACACGCCCATTCGTATGTTTCGTTCTGAAAGACTACGTGCTCAATGCTACTTCTTTTGTTTACAAAAATCCTATCCAAAACTACAAAAAAAAAATTCTTAGCAATTTCATATGGAACTAACTATGATTTAGGAAGTGAGAGACAGAAAGAGAGAGAGAGAGAGTATGCTTGTGTACGAAAAAACTGCTTATGCTTAATCTGAAAACTTGAGAAAAATGACTTAGTCAGAAAGCAGACATAAAGATGATAAAAAAAAAAGGTTGGAGAAAGTTCAGTTGATTATATAACAGTTTTTTCTTTGTTTTAGTTTTTGAAGCAGTTTATATTATATGCACCTAGAATTAAAGCAATGGCGATGAAGTAATTTTAAGAAGAATCCTTGCGATTAAGTTTCCTTTGTACATCATGGATGGAACATGAAAGAGCCTTGACGCCAATGTCCAGATGAATAAGGCAAAAAAATTGAACGTCAATTGCGGTAGCCTGGCTCTCAGTCTTGCTGAGAGAAAAAAATTCTTGTTCATACAATCATGTGACGGGTTGAAAAAAAAAATGCTTCGTAATCGTTTTCAAGATGCTTGCTCATCACTTTCGAATGTTATGATGAGCAAGCACTTATTTAAAACGATTACTAAGCATTTTTAGAATCCGTCACATAATGACCTTGGTGAAAAACAAAGAGACTTATGTTAAAAAAAAGGTGTCAAATCTTATCCCTCCTTCTAACATCCTGTTTAGCCTTCAGATACTTGTGGTTACTCTACCTACTCACAGCAGAACTTTTCCGTTTCTCCCCCTCAAAAACCTCAACGCAGATTAGACTGTTAGTTAAGAAAAAGCTCAGAGGGACAGAGCACGGAAACAGATGCTGTCGCCATTGACAATGTGCCCACGCAAAATATTTTTAAACTGAGTCAGGTTTCTCGGAAACACTTTGTCATTTGTTTTGTCACGTCAGAAATTAAATCCATTATGTTCTTTGTTATTTGAAAATTTGCGCAAGTTTATCACGTGAAACTCCAACGTTTATCATGTGATTCTCCCCAACGATCCAATAACATTCGATAAAACAAGCACGTGTCGACCTTGGAACTTTTCCTGTTAGACAGAGTAATTACAGCCTTCTCTAGATTTGTCAATGCAGACAAATATTTCCTTTCATTAATCAGGGTGAACGGAAAACAAAACAAGGGGTTTTCCCCAAAAGATAAAAGGTGCTTTCTTAGAAAGAAACAATATGACCTCAGTCAACTGCGACGCCTACAACAGGATGACGTCTGTATTTTTGCACTTTTGAAGCACGTGATTGGTGCAAGTCTGTGTTTGTGCGTGTGGTGTGGTGTGTTGTTAAAATTGTTCAGATGAATAAGGAAAATGCTTAAGTGCAAGTGCCGGAAGTTTCACAAAAATTTCCGATAAGTGCTGCGGGAAAAAAAGTGTGATGATGAAGCAACTCACAGCAACCGACCCGAAAATTTATTGTTTCTGGTGTTCCTGAAGACAAACGCCCGAAACACCAGCAAAAAGTTTCTAATAGAATCTTGTGGCCATGAGGAACTCAGAACCAAAGTGATCAAATACAATTTTTTTTTTAATGATTCCTCGGGAATTTCCCTTTCTTCCTCTCCATATGCGATATATTTTGCCCTACAAGGCGATAATCATCAACGCGGTTTCATATTGACACAATGCCAAAACAAAGACCTGCTTACACAGCACTTTCATTTTCAACTTGAAATGTGATTTTACAGTTGAAATAATTTTTTACGGGATTGACAAAAACAAAAGTAAATTTGGAAGAAGAGAGAATTGACACCACTGGTCGAATGTTGCACGTCTTTCAAAGTACATTCTACAATTTGTGGAAATCAACATGCATGACTCATTAGTTGTTCTATTTATAGGACTTACGGATGTGCGCTTGTTTAAATGAATTGTGCTCTGATTGAAAGACAGTTCGCGTCGACATCTGTATATAATATATGCTTATAAATGCAAGGAAAGTGATCATGAAACAAGGCTATTCGATCCCTTGAACAAGAGATGCTATGAGAAACTTTTAGGTAATCATTACATAGCCTCAGCAGTTTTACGTCGCTTTATTAAAGCTGAAAAACTTCATGCTTTTAATTTTTTAAAACGGAATTTTATCTCCTTTTGACTGAACGACAAATTTGAAACCACTTAAGCGGGGTTTTTCCCTCGAAAATTTGAAACCTACATACGTTTCTTGTTTCTACCGATATTTGATGACCATTATAACGTGATATGGTGCGGTTGACTGCGGTTGTACTATGTTGCCAAATTTATTTATTTTCGGTACCAATTATATAGGAAGCCTTCGTAAATGTTTCGATTTTTTCCTCATGAATGTTTGAAAACGGCTTCTGCGTGAAAGCATTTCTCTTCAGACTGTAAGGGAAAGTCCCGGTTATTTCAACTGAAATGAAAGATAGCAGAAAGTTACTATTTTGATTCAATTGCTTTCATTATTCCGACAAAACATCTGAAACGCGTCAATCAGAGAGGTGTTTGTGGCTCATTCAACTGACAAGGAAACAAACTTAAAACACATCGCAGATTTAACATCTTTGACTCAAATTATTATTAAAAATTACATGATCTCACGTTGACCCTGGGAGTTTTCCGTTTTACAGAGAATTAAGGCCACTTTCAGCTTCGTCAATGTAGGAAAAGATTACCTTTCATGGATTAGTGAAAACGACTTTTTGAAACATGCTTTCTAAGTCCCTCAATGCAAAGCCTGAGCATGTTGTGTCAAAGCGGATGCTTTATAGAAAGGACGCGTAGAATATATTTGTTGACGCTGCAGCTTACGACAACCGACCTTCATTGTGTAAAACTGGTTGTTGAACGAACAGTTCGTCGCTTCTGATGTACCTGAAGACAAATGCCCGAAACCATAGCAAAAGTTTCTTGTGGCTTCTTGTGGCCATAAAGAAAGTGGAGTGTCAAGTGCCAAAGTGAAGTGGTTTACCACTTTGCACGACCATTATAAGCGACAGATCCTTTTAAAAATAGATCATTACGTAACACTAAACGCATTTATTAAACATGGTGTAGCGCTTATGAAAGATAACTTATAAACGGAGCTGTAAGTACTTAGATGACAGTTTTGTTTCATAATTCCACGGGAATTTCCCTTTGTTTGAGTTTGCCTCCATAAATGCCACATGTATTTGCCACATATCTACGTGATAGTCATCAAACGTATCATGAAATTGACTCAAATTAAACCTGGAGTTGCTTACACAGCACTTTCACTTTCAATTTCGAAATGTGATTTTTACGGCAGAAATCATTGCCTGCGCAGTTAACGAAACGGAACTAAATTTAAAGAGAACAGAGGATGAACTCCATTTTTTGACTAAAGCACGGTCTTTCAAAGGTCATTCTTCAGTTTGTAGATGTAAATGACCAACGCACGATCTATTTATAGGACCATCTTCGGTTTGTGCGGATATGTATAAATTAAACTTTACTATGTAAAACAATTCGTGTTGAATTCTCTTCATCTGTCATGTTTGACGCAACGCATTGTAAACATAAAGATAAATGCTAGGAAAGTGATCATGAAAAAATATTAATCAATCACTTCAACGGCCTCAATACTTTTCCGCTGTTTTTTATTGAATGGTTGAATTCGAAATTGAAACTGCTCAATGGGGTTTTTCCCTTAAAATCAACATGATATGCCAATATTGTTTGACTACTAGAGTGTGCTTAATTCCGGTCGATTGCGGGAATTGCAGTATATTTTTAGGTTCTCGGTTATAAAGAGAGCAAACAAGAACGTTTACGAATGTTCTCTCCTTGACAAGCCTATTAAACTTTTGACCCCGTCGTACGACTGAACTTTCAAAACAGGAATCACTACTTAACAAGGGAAAGTCCCGGCTATTTTTACGGGAAAGAGAGAAGAAAGAAAAGTTATTGTCTTTGTCTGATTTGTTTGATTTTTCAATCCCTACAAAAAGTCTGATACCTGTCAAAGAGAAATTTATTTGGGGCTCATTCGACTAGCATTGTAGGACTCTTCTTAATAGGGAAAATAACAGTCTCGAAAAACTGTATCTGTGCTCTTACTTTCATCTTTGCAAAGGGATAATGCGGCCATAAAAGAGATTAAATAGATTATTTTAAGTTTTTTGGCACTATTTCAACCACCAGCTAATAATTTTCTCAGCTAATAACTTTCTACGTAATTAACAAAGGAAAAACATTTTAAACAATCATGCTTTCCTTCGACGTTAAAACGAATTTCGCGTAGTGCAGTTTCAAAATGCTTTCAAAGTAAATTGTGGCAAGGAAAATGAACAACTGTAGGTCATGTAGAAATATGTACAATAGACTTTAATTCCTAAACGGCGTAAGTTGAAACTAAAATAACAAACAATTACTAAAGTTACATAATAAACGATGTAAAGAAATAACAAAAAAGAAAAGAAGCAAAAGGACGTCGAGCGAAAACGCCTAGCGCAAAAAAAACTAGAAAACAGGCATATTAATGCTATATGTACATCGATAAATTATGCAAAGTAGCAATAAGGCGGTGATAAGGTGGTAATAAAAAGACCAAAAAAAGGCGCTAATGAAACAATAAGTATAAACGTTTGCTAGTTACGGGGTGAAAAGACCTAAATGATGAGCTTTAAACACGCAAAGAGTCCAACACGAAAAAATATCGCCCTTAGACTTACACATATTTCATACAGAACCTTCTCGATTCAGTTTACAGTGGCTCACCAAACAAAAATACAAATTTTTTGCCTCATCAACATATATATGCAGACTTAGTCGAAAGTCGGTTATAGGTAAATTCTAGCAGTTAATTGATGACACTATGGCAATAGAGGAAAGTTTTTTTTTTTAACTTGAAGCCGGCCACGGGTCTCCACTTCATAATTAAAAGAGAGTTGTTTGCCGGAGTTATGGCCCAGTCAGCGATCATAAAGAAAATATGATACATCGTGCACCAAGGATCAATATTTGTTGCAAATCATTAAAGGTAAAATTATCAGATGACTAAAAGTGGTCCACACAACGTTTACAGCACTAAACTGTCAAAATAAGAAGGATAACAAAATGATACATTTTGGAAAAAACCAGTTTCCGTTAAGCAGTTAGTGGAGGCCTTCACACAATTACGACCTAATTATCTACACAGTTCTTAATTGACCTGGTGACGTCAAATAATTGAAATAGAAAGCAAAACAAGCCATCATTTCTTGCTTTTGCATCAATGTTAGAACAATGGAAGTTTTTACAAGTTGATTAGGATCTAAGTTCTATTTGGAAAAAAATCCTAAATAACCACATATGGCATTAGCTGATCCCACAACTCAAGTGATGCTGGGATTAATGGAGGGGGTTCTTCTGAACCCTCCAGAATGTCGCACTCTTGAAAAAGTAAAGATGATTCTTCCTCTCCTAAGAACGAGATCACCTTTGTTTTATAACCTCAGAAAAGGTGAGTAAGTAAGTATCTACCAATGTTTTTCAAAGATAACTCTTCAAATGAAATATATTTTTTAATAGAAGAAATTGTATCAAGGGTAGAACACCTGAATCCATGCATCATTCTGGAAAACGTTTGCGCGCGCGCATGACCAAAAACTTCACCTGATTTCAGTTTCTGTAAGCTGAATATCATGCCTTTATTGGTCTTAAGGCAATCGTTTCGAAGTAAACAATGCTTAACAGTTTTTACTGTGTAGAACTCAACTTATTAAGGATGGGGAATTAATCGCGATTGAAATATCATTCAGCCATCGTCAACTGAGACATGATATCGTTTCCTATATTCAGAGCTTGTGGCATATAAATACAGCATTCCCTTACATTCTCTGGCCGCCAAACTAACCAACCAGTTCGAACAAACGCACTTAAATATATTCAATTGACAACAACTCCTCACTCGACTCTGATGATGACTTCCGCGAATTGAAGTTGACGAAACGCTGGTCACCACTACTGACAACAGTCCTTTAAGTACTACCCTCGCTTGGACGATCAGACTAACAGAGCAAATGTTGCCCCGGGTTCGAACCTTTCATTGCATTGTTTACTTTATTCGAAGAATGACATAGGAAAAGAGTGAATTTAAGAGTAAGAATTCAGGACCAAACTTTAGAATCCCATTATTTTGATCACTCTTAACTTAATTAGCACTTTCACGTTCATCGTTATCATCATCATCGTTATCATCGTAATCACCATTATTATATCACGCGAGAGAATATCTTCTCTTGTATCTCCAGTATCATTTTTAACATCAAAATTTAAGTCTGTTGTAGCGAAGTCATGCATATTACCCCTTCCATTTTGTTAATCAGACCTTGTTTAATCCACAGATCTCCTTGTGGACATTGCCACAAATGCTAGTTTGAAGAAATTCAAAAGAGATCATGTTGTCATCTGGCAAGGACAAGAAGGAAATAAGTAAGAAAAACTCGGTGATAATACAACAATGAATTAGTTAGTGTTGTGTTAGTGACAAAACAGCCTGACAGTTCTTCCAGGCTCAGAAAGTTATAACTGAACGTTCCTGTCTTTGAAACAATCGTACCGCTTACAGAAAGTGACGTTCAAAACTTCCTTGAAGAGAAAGAAAACCAAAATAGGGAAAGAAGAGCCAGAAGTTACGTAATCAGTGGCTTTCGTAATGGCTTTTCTCGCTGCTAAGAACGAAAATCGGCAACTGGAAGATTTGCAACTGGCCGAGTTTGGCCAGTTACCTTTATAGATTTCTTATTTCGGTACGGACAAAGTCAATAACTGAGAATTTTGTAAATTGAAAAATACGCCCATTATTTGATTTTGTAATGATTCAACGCATTTTTTATCTTGAGTCTTATCGTCTACGCACTTTGCAACTTCTTTTCGGGGCTTGTGAATCCTATTTTTTTCCATTAATTATTCGGGGATTATCAATTCATTTATTTTCATTCATTAATGAAGTCGACTTTCTTGTCAGTAAAGGGCTATTGTATTTATATAATGAACACAATAATACATGGTTGCTTGAAGATATGGAATTTCTATTCTCGTGTCCAATTCGTGAACTATTGAAAACTTGAAGAGAAATTCTATGCCTATGCACGCCCATGTATTATACTCTATTTATAAAGTCTGATAACACTTATTTCTTTCCATAAACCGACGGTGCGTAAGAAAGACTTTCTAATGGTTTTGTCCCTAATTCTCGATGATTGCCTGATTCATAACAGTTTTGGGGTCATTATCAAAGGAGCTGCGTCAGTGCATGCCAGGGAGGACCACGGAGGAGCACCTCAACAGGACACTGTATCAATACCGCGTGGCCAAAGAGAACGTGTGGCAATGGTCGGCCATGAGCTTAGGCACATTTCAGCGGGAGGTAGCTTCGGTGAAAGGGCCATGTTATGTGAACATCCGCCATACAACGTGACTGTTATAGCTGACGAACTGATGCATGTGCTACTAATAGACAGAACGCTTTACGCGAGATCATTTGGTGCTCACAAGCTGGAGTGGGAAAAAAAGGTTGAGTTCGTCAAGCAGTCTCCCCTTCTCCGACATTTGACGCCAGCTATCCAGAACCTGTTAATGGAGAACTTAAAACCGCGCGAGATACAGTTTGGTAATCGCTTCATAAAGCAAGGAGGCGTTTGCAATAGCCTTTTCTTCGTTTGTAGTGGATGGGGAAAAGTTATAGCAGATCTGCGCATCAGCAGGACCCAGTATGAAGCAATGAAAGCAACTTCGAGAAGCAAGGAGAAATCCTCAGGTCGGAAGACCATTAGCTGTGACAGGGAATACATACACACTAAGAAACTGGATCCTAGTCGCCCTCTTTCGGTCATCAACAGACGAAAGTACATGCAGGAGTTTGGATACGTTGCCGTAGAGACGCTTTTGAGACAGAGAGAAGTACCTGTGACAACTACAGGTCCAAACGACGTCATCGGTGACATTGAGGTTATAATGAATTTCCCAACGTACTGTGCGAGCGTGGAGTGTATTGAAACCTTGCACGTTTACGAGCTGAGCAAGTTCGATTTTTATCAAATTGTTAACCACAGGAGTACTGAAACAGACGATCTCTTGCGAAATGGTGCTCTCGCCAAGCTGTGTTTTCGAGCCCAGCGTCTAAAGAATATACCGTTGTACACCTTGCTATACGAGCGAGCCTTAACTCCTCTCAAAGAACCAACAAGGAAAGCATCTCTTTGGGCACAAAAGGCCAATCAAATTAGAACTATAAATAAAATTGTCGGCAGCTTGAGCAAAATTCAACGAACGCCTGCAGTGGACAAGACGAATAACAGCAAGGAAGCCGAGAAGAGGTATAAGAACGGTGGAGATTCATTGGTAAAAACAACCAATGAAATTACGACACTGATCACGTATTGAGATTTCATGATGGGAATAAACCTGTTAAAAAATTTTTCCCAAATGCGCTCAATTTCGACTACAGGAAGTCGCCATTTTTAATTTTGCACAGGATACTGTCTGAGCAGTTTCAAATTGCGGATTCCGAAATCGAGTTTTGAGCTCATTTGGAGACAATCTTTGAACGGTCAGGATTAAATATCGATACGCAGTATTGAATTTATATAACATGGTTTTCACAGCATACTTCTCTTTAAGAGTGAGTCACCCCCTCCCTGTGAAAAAGATTTTGATCGTACGCTGCAACGCGCGGTTAAAATAGTTTTGTTTTTATTTATCACTTTCGACCCCTTTTCATACGGCAATGTCTGTACACATTTGAGTAACACGTTGTTTATCTAGTAGAGACAATACACAAAAAAAGAGCAACACGACAGATTGAACAAAATTATGGGAAACATATATTTTACCGATCAAACTGCACAGAAAGTGGAATTTCCAATTATAAGCGTTACAACACATTACAACAATCATGTCGATATTTTTTTTTTAAGTTTTCCAACATTCGTTTCATTAACTTAGAGGCACGAGTGGAAACAAAACTGATGACAAACAGCTGGACAAGAAGGTAAAAAAAAATCATGCGCAGAAGCTACAATGTAGGCTATCATTAAATAATCAGAACTAATTGCGTAACAGGAACCACTCCGTTGCCGAAGGTTGGGTATCCAATCAGAGTCAAAAAAATCAACTAAACATTCACTCAGTCAACCAATCAGTCTTTAAGTTAGTCAATCAGCCTTTCATTCACCTAGAAAGTTATTTAGTCCGTCAACAAATCAGCAGGGAGTTATAACAGAGTTATAACCCACCCGTTCAATCAGTGAGTCGGTCAGTCACTGAGTCAGTCGAATGGATATCCTGCTGGCAAACATCAACGTCATTCATCAAAAAGAGTTACAACTGTGTTTAAAATAGGAAATTGTTATCTTTTATCTTGCGATTAATTCTCTACCAAAATGAATCGGCGCTCTCCTGACCACAAGATGTTGTATTCTACAACATGTAGTCTGCTTCAGACGATGCGGTCGCCTGAGGTGGAGCGAAAAGGTTCATGATAATTTAGCTGAATGAGCTTTAGCCAATCATTAGTTATAGTGAAATTGCATGATTATCGACACACATATCTAAAATGTCTAGTCATTGCCGCGTAATTTGTGATCGTTCAATCGAAGTGCAAACATGTTTTTATGTGATTAAATTCTTCTGAAAGGATGCCTAATGAATAAATCCTCACAAAAACCTTACGAAATAATGGATTACAATGTAAATTTCTGCTTCTTTTACAGTCTGTTCACAGGTTGATGCAGAGGAATTTGCAGAGACGAAGTGTCAGCTGACGGTTTTTGTCCAGGTGTTCGATTGGTCAAAAGAGAGATTGCATCTAAACAACCGAGCTTCTTTACTTCCTCTTTGGCTTCTTTTTCCTAACGCATTAATTTAAAATCAATCTTTTGAACCTAGCCTGGTATATGTAGAACGCTGTGCAGGTTTTTTTTTTTTATTAAAGTCCACGGGAGATAAGAGTTTGAGCTGCCCATTGTGGTGTGGCGTTTTAATTGTTAACCTTGAACATCATGAATTATTTTTTGGGTGAAATTGGTAGTCTCGCATCGCCAGTATTTCTTGTATGGCCGGAGAATTTGGATGGTGTGTGTTTTTGTATATAGGTATCATCCTAATTTTCGTCGTATTCATCTACTGGATAATGCCGGAGTTCTCTTCGCAGAACTATACTCAATCACCTTCTCCAACATCGGATAACCTACAACTGGGCTTGGAGAAGTTTTTTCACCGAAGAAGGAGCTTCCCAAAGCGTGGCCATACTCTGCAAGGTTTGACCAAACTTGTTTGATGTATTTGTGACGCAACTGTTGTATATGATGAGAAATTCCACTACGTCCCAATGATTGTTCCTCGCGGCGGCCATGGCGGGTGTCTCTCCAAATTGATCACTGTAGAGATAAATAGTATAACTCAGGCATTGTTTGCATGCAACGAGGGTGTTTGCTCCTCTGCTTCTACTGACAGGCGACATCTGGAACAGCAGATTTTTAAAATCAGTCTGATTATATTTTGTTAGAAGTTTTCTTAAAAGGCTCTGATGCCAAGAACCGAAAAACTGACCACTATCATTAAATAATGAACTTCTTAGGTTGACAACTTCCGGGAAAAAAAAGAAGGAAAGAAGAATCATAATCCATCGGATCTTATCTGTCGTAAAGAGAGCTCAAACGAGCATTTTACTCTAATCGATTAATTCAAATTCCCGAGCATTTTATTTAGATCATCTGTTCAGTTTGTGCGATGCTAACCCGCCCTATTAATGAATGATGTTTAATGCATGTTGCCTGCACGGTCATTTGAGGTAGATTCTGCTGGTGATTACCATACGTTCAGGCCAGCTTTTCCTGTCACAATCTAACCCCCCCCCCCCCTCCACCACCCTCTCCTTCATTGATACTTCTATGTCTTCTTTATAAGCTACTATATAGTACGAGAGTAGGACCTATGAGGTCTCTCTGCCGAGTCAGTACCTCTTTCATACCTCTTGTTCTAATATTTCTTATCTGGCACGCTTTAATAGAAACAATCAAGATGAGCTTTTACTTACGTTTCGTTAACTTTGGCTCCAGTCTCCAGAAGTTTCCTGGCGATGTTCACATCCGCTGCGCAATGCAACGGCGTCTTCCCCCGCGGAGTCTTTACATTTACTTCAGGAAATATCTCGGTGAGCAGATCAATGACTTGAGAATTGCCCTTAGTTTCCGCCGCTACATGCAGCAACGTCTTGTCCCATGGACTAACACGAATCTCCTGAAGTTTCTCCTTAACTGAATCTTGCACGTTTATGAGAGTTTGTAATAGATCTCTGTCTCCGCCACTTATCGCGTCAGTGAGTAAGCGCTCGCAGGACATTGATCGAACAAAACCATCTGTATTGATTCCACGTTGAATTAGCAGCTTAGCCACACACAATGTCTTAGCTAGGACTGCGATTTCCAGGACGGTGTTTTGATAGACATCGCTGGCATTAATATCAGCTCCTCTACGCAGAAGTAGTTCCACAGTAGTCACATGACCGCGTTTAGCTGCCAACATAAGTGGGGTTTGACCATTCAAATTAACGCTATCAACCTTAGCACCCTTTCTTAGTAGGAGAAGTATCGTCTCGTTGTGTCCATTTTGCGCTGCGAAATGTAGGGCTGTGGAGCCTGTTAGGCTTCTTTCCGTATCTTCATAGGTGTCACCTGTGGGATGATTCACATCGCATCCATGTTCGATGAGAAAAAAGACGATTTTATTTCGGCCATTTTGAGAAGCGTAATGAAGTGACATAAGTCCACCGTCGTCTTCGTCGTAAATCCGAGCACCCGATCGAACCAGGAGCATCACCACATCAAGAGAGTTGTTAGCAACCGAAAAGTGCAGAGCTGTCCTTTGTTTGTTGTCTCTGGCGTCCACTCTTGCTCCATTAGCAAGGAGAAACTCCACAACCTCGGACTTACCAGACGCACATGCCGACATAAGAAGTGTCCTGCCTCGCTGGTCTGTTTTCTCGAGACAACTTTTCCTGTCCTCTTTGAATTTTTTACATCCAGCAAGGACTTTTTGTAACTGGCTCAGACTTCCTTTGCTGACAACTTCGCGTAAAAGAGATATATTTTGGAACTTTTTCACGGTTTTGTTCAAAATGTGCAATACAGCATCACTACTGGAATTTTCCTCTGTAGGAAGTTTGTCAGGAGAACAGGCCACCGGGGATAAATTAACGTATGCGAGCATGCGAGATATGAGGAAGTCCGCTGTACCTGCCGTAAGAAGTGCTATGGAAATATCAAGGCTGCTCGGGCTAAACCTCAGAATCGTTTCCGTCGTGGACAAATCACCTTTCATAACTAAGGCTTGTATTACACTTAGCCCGTCAGGACCATCTGGATTTGTTAGTCTGTAGAATGCCTGCATCTTAAGATTATCCTTGAGAGAAGAAAAAACGCAACTAAACAATAAGGAAATCTACAGGTGATTTATACATTAATAAGAGTTTCAGTTTAAAGATTACCTTAGTAAAGATAGGCAATTCAAGCGGCGATATTTAAGATAAACAAGCTTTCATTTTGAGATCCACGAGAGACTCGTTAGCTTGCAGTCTCCTGCTAAGCTGTTCTCTGAAATGGACCGAATACTTTTCTCCATTTTCGCTTCTCATACCTTTCTTGGTTTTACAGCTCGTTTTCGCGGTCACATGCAAACGTGCGCTGTACTATGGAACGCAATGATAAAGGGGGTAAGTTTCTAAAGAAACTGTGGGGCTGCATCCGTAGGAGAGTATAACAGGGTAATTTACTATCATTAACTGAGTTGATAACGTAAATTGGCCGCCGGAAAGTATTCAAAAGTTGACGTTTCGAGCGTTAGCCCTTTGTCAGAGCGATTCAATTTACGTTATCAACTCAGCTGATTATACTAAATTACCCTGCGGAATGAAAGATCTGGGTTTGAGCATGAACCTGACTCTCAAGAGCACTTCTCTCCGCCCAGTAGTATATATGCATGGCATCAAAAGACTGTTAGGTAAAGCTCAAGAAAAAAGGAGTGGCTGTAGGGACGCAGATTTCCCCAGAATAGCCGCACTTGGAGAAATAAAAGTACCCACAATGATATATAAACGGCATTGGAAGACGATTGAAAACCCATACAGCCGTCAAGCAACTGACCATGTGACGGACGTATCGCAGCTATAAAAAAGGGGGCCATGTAACAGCGCTCGATGTTCAGAATGCATTTTTGAGGGGTCTTTTGATGTTATTTTTCCGTAAAAGCAAAATTTTCTTGCATGATAGTCAAAACGGCCTTTCGCTCGAAACGCGGCGTATGGAGAGAATTCTCTAACGTATATGGTAAGTAACTGAGTGTTAAGGACTGAATTGAATTATGGTGAGATTTTTTAAAGTCGTGACTCGAACTGTATTCAAGTGTTTGGTTATTTAATTGCGCTGTAATTAGCCGTGAATTCAAATAGGGGTCTTAGTTTTGGAGTGTTTTTCAAGTGCGAAAACCCAAATCCTGAACCAGTCGTTCGAGTGGTCTTCGGTCTTAGGTCTTCTGTCTTAGCTTTCGTGACGACAGCTATCTGATCACTTATGCCGCAGGGCAAGAAAACATTTAAGTAACTCATCCGAACAGAGAATTAGAATGAAATCACGTTACCCTCTGTTTTCTTCCCTTTCATCTTACTTCATTGTTACAGTTTTAAACTTGATCACTAAACGTGAACTGCTAGGGTTTTTTTTTGTTAATAGTCCATGATAGTTAGGAATCGCGGACAGACCCTCAGATCTTCACATCACAAATCATCGCCAAAAGTGTTTCGGTAAGTCAACCACAAGCTCAGATCGGCCGGCCAGGCGCTTCACTTCGATCGAGGAATGGAGAACATACATGATTTCATGGTAATAAGATTAAAAATATTTTGCCAGGAAATTGTTATCTGTATATTTTCGATCGACCTTTGTAATAAAGCGATGCAGTAATACGGTGTGTACAATCTTTAGATCACCCACAGTTTCTGGGAAACCAAGGACCACTGAATCTTTCACACAGGACGAAATTGCAAGAATCCGTAAACGGAAACGTGGCAGAAACATGTTAAACCGTTCCGGAAACACGACGGATAACCTGTGTTTCCGTTACCGGTTTCGTGACGTTTTCTCGCGTTTCCGTTGCTGCGTATACAACGTTTACGTAGACGTAAGACGTAAACATAACGGAAACATGGAGTTGCATGTTTCCGCCACGTTTCAGAAATACGGAAACATGTGATTTCGTCCTGTGTCAGTTCTTGAAACGCGATTACAAATGCAAAAGCTTTCCACCAGCCAAATGAATCAACTTACCGGCTCTCTAATTTTGCATTCTTTGGTAACCATTCTGGTTTTTTCCCGTTTCTTTGTACGCTGAACCGCAGGTAAATTAAATAAACACTAACCAGCAACTCCGTGCAAATATATCAACTGATGACAGGACACAAAACACAAGCCAGGTTAATGCAAATTTTCAGTGTTTTCAAAATAAAGACACCAGCGGACCGTGAACCAGTTACAATACACAGCTACCTGTGGACCACCCGATGAGTCAGTGATATCATACTGGACGCACGAAAGAAACATTGAAATGTCGCAACTGAAGCCCTGGGCCGTGTTTTTCAGAAAAACAATTTAAATTGTATGTATTGTTCCATTTTTAGAAAAATACCATGGTGTTTCCATGAACTTGAGGACTCTTAAGAAAAGGTTGCGTGAGTTTGGTTTGAGAAGGAGAAACGAAGCCATTCAGAGCACGAAGTTCGGGAAATAATTAAACATGAAATCGAAGGCCCTTCATCATTTCTTTTTCTAAAAACAGAATAATAGTATCATAACGAAATTCTTTCAAACTAATGTTCATTGTCAGATCTCTCATCTGACGAACCGTGCAACTCATTTTTCTGTTCGTGTCTCTTTTAAGTTCCACATCGACGGCAGAATAGTTCATTGCTCGCAAATTTTTTCCCACATTTTTGGCAGAAAATCGCAATACACTTGGTACAGTTTAATACGTTTGCGTAGTGACTCCAAGTCGACTTAGTTCAACTTAGTGCGTCGACAAGATGTGCTGTATCGTGAAACAGTGCTGACTACTAGCGCGTGTCAAGTGACAAAAATATTTTTCTCGATTTACGAAACTTCTGGATTTTGGAAAGATTCTTGAATTGTAACCTATTATTGATTTTCATGAAAGTTATTTGTGGATCTATGAATGAAACCAGGATTTGAAATTGATTTCTCGATTTGACAAACCTTTCAAAAGCGATTTGTGTGAAAGATATCGATTCTAAATATTTTTTCGGATTTGCAAAATATCTCTACATTGTTCCTTTTCGGCTTCCGTAGGCAAGGCCCGCTGAATAATCAAATTTTCAACGCTTCGTTTTCTGAAAATCTCCACGAATTGCAATGAAATTAAGTCGCATTTACCGTAGGAAGTGTTTTCAAGGAGATATCTATATATAGAAATCCACTACAGCATGTTTTCATTTTCTATGATTATTCTTGAAAAGCCATTGAATGATGAAATTGTCTGGGCCTGTCAGGGTTACCATGACGTCGGTCAAGGACGATTGCTTCAGTTTCGCTAGAAAGGAGAGTAAAACTTCAGCTCTCATCGCTGCATTGAGAAAAGATGGACAGCCCAAACTGAAATGATCACACAATGAAAGAATTTGTATTTTAATCTGAAATTTAAAAAAAAGAGTATTCATCATACGCTATCAAAATGCAAATATCGTGAACACCATGAAAGGGAAGCTTAACTTCTCTTCTTTCACGAATTATTGCCATTTTGAAAAATTAGTTCACTTTTTGTATCCTGGTGTGTCTTCTTTCAGGTTTTTCTAGTACAAGTTTTGCAGATGAATGTGCTTCTATGTGTTTTTTGTCTTTTAACAAAAACGTCGTTAACAGCGATAGAGCGGACTGAGTATGTACCGTATCAGATACGGTGGCCGTATTTGACTGAAGTACTTTAAGCATCAAAGTCTTGGGTTGTTTTTTGGTTTTAGACCCAGCCAAACATACAGAACTGCCTTTTTCAGGCTTCGGATTGTTTTCAAACTTTGAGGGTGGGTTTTTGGAGATGTCTTTTTGTTGATCAACGTTGCTGTCTCCTAATTTTCTGCTTTTAAATCTGTTCACTTCATGTGTTGGTGTTGATCTGTTAAAGAGATATGTGAACATTGATAAACATCAATCATAATGCAAAGCTTACAACTGGGTACCATGCATTTAACCAAGTGTTTGCCCAAAAAGCTGTATCTGCGTCTTCGTAAAAATAATTTAAAACTTCAAATTGCATTGTCCCTTTTCACCCAGCATCAGTATGAATATTCTCCAAACTGTTCTCCATACATTTCTAACAATGCTGATAAGGAGAATTTGTTTGACGATCAAGTGCCTCATAAGTTGGTGATCATTTCTTTTCTTCTCGTGAATTTAATGTTTAATGTATGATATAGGGGGGATATTGTTAGGAGAAATTAGATGCTAGTCACTCTTAGGAGGTAAGAAAGGTTAAAGGTCAATAGTACGAGATATTCTCGTTGACTGGTGCCTATTCAACTTGTGACGTCATCAGTTACTAAGCAAATCATGCGATGTAGAGAACAAGAATAATGGTCTGTGCGATTTTTTAGAGTTGGTTTTATCTTTCATTTGAGATTCCATTGGTTCTGGACAACTTTGATGGAACTTTAATGATCAATACGCTTATGAAGAATGCTTTTCCCTTCCTCGTGAACGGGCTGCCACTCCCTGTTGCGTTGATTCTCAAATATAATTTGCATTGATTCGTTTTTGTTGTTGTTTTGTTTCTTTCTTTTACTCAGCGAGAAAGTATAAACTTACTTGCCCTGTTTGGGTGGTGTCTCCGTATCGGGCTTGGGTTCTGGTTCGGATGTTGTTGCTATCAGTCGTACAAAGAGAGCGCAGAGGGCGAGAGCAGCAAGTAACACCAGGTAGAAGGTAGAAGAAAGAAACACTTCAGCCATTTTGAAGCGGAAAGGAAAACCTGTTGAGAATGTAATGTTTAGAATCATGTACAGATTCGAGTCTAAAAGCCGTTCTGAATTTCTTGGGAGCAAGTTGTTATCAGTCCTTTGTAAAAAAATTCCTGTTGGACCTTGACCAAAGAGGGGTTCTTTTAGTACCACTAAACCTTTTTGTTGCTTCATCTCACGATGTTAAAGAGGTAAGTTTAACTCCAAAACAAAAGGTAAAGCAAAAGATTTAACAAAGCCAATAAAGAAAAAACCCAAAAGTCAGAAATCTCGTAACCACCCTAGGTGGGACACGTTTGTCGAACAGGCATCGACCTGCCTAAGCTGGTTCCCAGGTTTGCCTCGAGCTCTACTGTGTAGGTATAGTCATGGGTTTGTTGCGTCGTCAGGTTAGCACAAAATGTTAATTATTTGTTGTTGTTTGAACTCTGCCATGGGTTTACTTAGAATTGAGCCAGGTTCGCTTTTCCTTTGTTAACTTAACTTCCTTTGAAGGCATGTGATAAATTTAGGAGTAATACATTGTGTGTGTAAAGATTTCATTAAAGATATCGACTGATGCAGAATTGATTTCACCATGATCTGGTCTTGAGTATATTTATGCAAGAGGGGATACTTTATCCTCTCTTGATTAATGTAAGGGGACATAAATGTGTCTGATCAATGATTAACCCTCTATGGCTCCCATGATCCGCCTATTACTTCTCCCTACCGATCGCCAGACATCTCCTTGTAAATAAGACAAAATAATTTGGTTCTCCATCAGGACCACACTGTTAAGCTCAGTGAGAAGTTAGTCTGTTCTCTTTTTGTATTGAGGCTTTTTCTTTCATCAAAGAGTTAAGAAAAGCTGCAAGACTTCCTATACGCCGGAAAATGAAGCACTCAGTTCCGATGAGAAATTCAGAACACCAAATGAAAACAACAAGAAAATATTGATCGAAGAGGGATACAACAGTCCTAATACACAACGGTACTTGTGAGCGGTTTTCGAGGGGTAGAAAATGATACGCACTTTAAAGAAAAAGAAAGATACTTCTACTTGAAATAAAATGGGAAACACCTTGACTCACCAGCAGAGAAGGAAGCTTGAGAAAGTTTTTGCCGCAGAATCTTAATGGCAGCCGACTGAAGGAAGACTTCAACACGCATCACGAACTGAACCTTTTCATGCCACAGAAAAACTATGTGAGTGGCAACAATTGTTGGCTACGTCATAATTAAATAAAGAATTCTAAGTACGCGCGTGTGTGCACGCGTATACGTTTCCTATTCTCGCACATTGCGAGCCCTCAATCATAATCACTCTCTCACGCAACCCCCTCCCGCCCAGACAACAGTTCCAACTTTAAAGAAGCTGGTAACGAATAGCAATCCAGCCCTTACAACCACCCCCTTAATAAATATTTTCGCTACACTACTGAGGACAAAATGGCGGCTGCTGTCGAAGTCCGATGGCCTAACGAGAAGGATCAGTACGAACTACAAGAGGTGATAGGTAAGATAATTATGGTAATTTTTCAAATTAAATTACACAGCTTTCTCCAGATATAAATTTTCTGTTCAGGGTATGGTGCGACAGCTGTTGTTCAAGCTGCAAAGTGCATCCCTCGCAATGAGCGTGTTGCTGTGAAGAGGATTGATTTGGAAAAGTGCGGCGCAAGTATTGACGAAATGATGGTAAGTTAGCTGCTGTGAATTATAGAATTCGTTTATTTCAATTGTAAACTAATTATGCCTAATTTATATCTATGATGATCATGTAGTGAGATTTCTTGCTGCGGTATTTTTCCCGGACCAACAACAAGCCGATCATATGCTATCAAGAAAATCTACTGACAGATCGAGGCCGTTACTAACCAATCGACATCTGCTGGTTTCCTATGGACCAATGATTGTATAAATAGCCTGGTTTGAACTAATATTTTACAGCCATTTACGTCGAGGAGAATTGTAGAAAACATTGTCTATCCCTCAAAAACCGCTCGCATAGAATTAAATGTTTGCTTAATTAATTCATCCATTTTTCCACGATGACAGCTCCCACTCGAATGATTTCAAGACTGCGTGTGTTTTTATTCTCAAGTGATCTGTGGACAATTTTTCAAGTTTTTGTAGGCTTCGAATCGTCTTTGCTGTTTTTATCTCATTGGTCTTCATTAACCTTTGTTTTTGTGAAAAAATGTTCACTTTCGTTCTACTACGGAATCTGTCGACATTTGCATATACAGTTAATGTTCTGCTTGTGCACTTTGTGGCTTGCTGCTCGAAAAGCACGATTTTATGAACAGAAAAAAGGTAGTTAAAAGGTGGAACACAGCTTAAGAAAACTGAGGACCATTCAAGGCTTTATTAGAGATGAATTTACAAAAATCTTTAAGTAGAGCAATCATTCCAGTTGTTTGAGTTGCCACTGTAAACTTCATGTGGGTAGAATCTTCCACTTTGTTAAAATCTGTGGGAAAAAAATATGTTCCTGATAAGGGAATCAGTTTTGTATTTTATTGCAGTACAAGTTCTACATAAATGTTATTTGATGGAAGTTTTGTGGAATGCGTCTATGAGTAGTGCTCTGATTGTGTTACACTCTCTCATGCAGAAAGAAATTCGTACCATGAGCCAGTGCAATCATGAGAATGTTGTGAATTACTACACATCATTTGTGGTGAAGCAAGAACTGTGGATAGTCATGAGGTTGTTGAATGGAGGTAGGAAACTAGTTAGGAATTTTCAAAGTGTTGGAACAATTCTTAATTAAAAGATGCCACAATTGAGATTTTCAAGGTGTTCTGTTAGAATATTTTCAACCTGGTCTGCAAGAGACAAGTAGGAAAATTTCTCTCAAACACGAGGCAAATTTAAACCAACAAACTCTGAAGAAACATCATGAGTAATCTGTAAAGGAGAAAGATGGCTTCAGATTCTACTGATTCTGAATGACTGCACTGAACAAAGTTGATCTAAATTTGTGTTGAAAGAATAGTTGAAATGATACAACATACATGTAGACATTAGTAGGCATATAACATCAATAATGCCACTTTTCAGGAAGTGTCAAGAAATTAAATTTGATTTGAAGTGCAGAGTGTTACAATTTCCCCTTTGTCCCACTCATTGTTGTACAAACACAGACAACAATTTGTAACATTGTTCAGTTGGAGAGGGGTTGTAAATAAGGGTACTGGGGATAAAATTGGTGTTCTGGTCTAAAATATTTCATTTTCATTGTCAGTGCTAGAAATTCAATGCTGATTAGAGTGTCAGATCTGGTTTGGATTGTGGTATTGAAGTTAAATGTACATAAAGGTTATACTAAAATATCATATTATTTAATATATAAATGCATGTGAGGTATGCTACCAATGAGATAGAAAAAGTAAAAAAGTAAAGCCTTTATACAGGCCCAAATGGCCCATGGAGCTGGCACTTAAAACTCCGGTTTCCTTTGCATGAAGCGGCTAGGAGAATTGCTACTCCCCCCTGGATGGGATGGTAGTCCATCGCAGGGTTACTCCCAGCATATTTTCTGGTACCCATTTGTACACCTGGGTGAAGAAAAGCACTGTGAGAGTAAAGTGTCTTGCCTAAGAACACAACACAATGACCTCGGCCAGGGCTCGAACCCTGACCACTTGATCCGGAGTCGAGCGCACTAACCATGAGGCCACCACACCTCCACTAATGAAATAGAGAAAGAAGTTAATTTTGATTTTATCAACTGAGTTGATAATGGAAACTCGCTGTCATTAAGAGTTTCAAAGCTGACATTTTGAGCATTAGCACTTCTTTAGAGCAAAAGAGAAGTTGTTTGGCTCATTCTCATATATATACTGTGTACTCTGTTAAAAAGTTTTGAATAAACCACAGACTGAAGAAAACTATTGGATCATTCTTTTTGCTTATTTTAAAATAATTTTGACTTGAAACTTTCTGAAAGATGTTCTCCCATGTGTTTATGTTGTTGATCTTCTTGCATGTGTATCTTAGGTTCAATGCTTGATGTGATCAAACACCAGAAGAAACAGGGTCACCTTGTCGAAGGTGTACTTGATGAGGCTGTCATAGCATCTGTTTTGAGAGAAGTTCTAAAGGGTCTGGACTATTTTCATAGCCAGGGACTAATACACAGGTAAATTGTTCTGCATGATCAGTGTATAATTGAATACTGTGTAATTGTCAAGCCGGCTTTTATTGATCAACAAATAATTTCAATAGAATGTTGGAAGTAGCTAGGGTCTTTTAGGTTTCAGTTCAACATACTGTAATCTTTTTTTGTTGCTAAAAGGTCTTGCCGCTCTGTTGACTAATTAGACCCAAATATAAAATCATTTTGACATGGTCTCACATTTTCCATTGCATTAGATTCTTGGATTGTCGTTTTAGGTTTTCCTTGACACCTGTATCAGCCAAATTAAATTAGATTGAGTAATTTAAGTGAACCCTTTACATCCTAGATTTTATTGATTACCTTAATCTTCCTTATCCATCAATTGCAGGGACGTAAAGGCTGGTAACATTTTGCTGGCTACTGATGGCACAGTTCAACTGGCTGGTAAATGAATTGAGAGACTATTTATCTGTTCCTGTGTAGAGTTATATTTCTGATTAAGAAAAGCCTGTTATCCTCATCTTTTGTATTTTTTGTGGCCTTCCTTGCAAGTGCCTCTATGAACAGAAGTCATGTATTTAACATGGCAAACAGTATGTGGTGTTCATCTCCAAATAGTCTTCTCCATCAGTGTTTTATTGTCTTAAATATACTGCTCAGTGTCTAAAGGTCCCTCCTTACAAGGGTTTCCTGCCATCCTGGCCCCATTCACATAACATGAGAGTCTATAGTATCACACAAACAAATGTGATTTTGTTTTGTAGACTTTGGTGTCAGTTCAGTTATAAGTGATTATGGGGATAGGTCAAGACCCAAGGTCAGGAAGACGTTTGTTGGCACACCATGCTGGATGGCGCCAGAAGTCATGGAACAGGTATGATCATGGTAACTTTGTTTCTGGGATACTTATTAATACTATAAAGAGGAGTCTAAGGCTCCTTGAAGTTCATGTTTTGCAGTTTGTATGTTGATGTATTTATTCAATTCAGCACCATGGGCCCATATTAAATTTATGGATGCTTATTTAAGGTGGATGCTAAATAACTTTTCCCACCTTCAAGGTAGACACTTATTTAAAGTTGAGAATTTAATCAAGTAAATACAGCATGCAAACTGTATTTAGTTTGTTAAGTGTGGGGTGTGTGTACATTTTGTTTGGCCCACTTGTAAAATCATACCTTGAAATATGAGGATAGTTGGTTACATGCCCATGTTACCTGCACTTAGTAGGCAGATACAAGAATTCCTGCGGAGCTGTTTCCAATTTTGTTAGCCAATTTCATGCTCATCCTCATGTTTGCTCATCTTTGCTTTTAACCAAGTGACCAAGGCAGAATTTCTCCTTACAATATCAATACAATATCAACCAGATAAGTGATGAGATCAAAGGAAAATATCAATTTGGGGATAATTAGTGGATCCAAAACTAAATTCTCTGAACTAACATCATGATAATTGTATGGTTGACAGTAAGGGGAATTACAAATTTGATCTGGGGATTAAAGGATTGAGAGCCTTCTCATGATCTGAAAGAAAGGAAAATGTTATCTGCTCTACACCAGTTCGAAATAGTTTAAAAGAGAGGGAAATTTGAGCCACAAAGCTTGTCTGAATGTTACATGTAAAGCACTGTATGCTGTTTCAAAAACTGCACAGAATTAGTTACAGTATATTGTTCCAACTAACTTTTAAATTGATCTGTGTGTAAAGTGCCAGAGTACAGGGATGTACGTTGTCAGCTTTCTGTTCCACTAACCTTTAAGAACACTAGGGTGAGGGACCATGTTAACTGTGAAATGATAATGATGCAGTTTGTGCATTCACCATACATTTACATCATCAGGTTCATGGTTATAACCACAAAGCCGATATCTGGAGTTTTGGTATTACAGCCATTGAGTTGGCCACTGGAATTGCTCCATATGCAAAGTTTCCAGCCATGAAGGTAGGATTGTGAGAACATGTCGAAAAATTGTAGCAAAAATGTGCCTTCACTGAACATCTACATGTACATACATTGATCAGTGGATTATTACTTCTGTTTGGATTCAAACAAACTTCCCCAAAATTAGGGAGTCAAAGAACTATATTGATAAGTTGTATGTCAAAAAGTAAAAGAAGTGTTGTGCACTGCAACTCCTAAAAAAGGAAAAGTGGAGAAAATTATTTTAAACTTGGGCAAAGAAAACAGTGCCACGTTGCGATATTTTCTGTCATCATAACTATGTATTGGACAGGATTTCTGTTTTATAAGATAAAACATTGCAGCAATCTACAGCTTGTCACTGTAGTCCAGCAAACTCCAAAGGTGGAGGCTAGACCTGAAAACACAAAACAAAACAAAACAATAAGGGGGATGATTCAGGATGAAGGACTTTAATACAGACTCTACATGTAAATAATGGGCAGGGAAAATTTGGGTACAAATTGTGATGCACTGCTTCACTTGATATTCTGTTGTCTGGCACTATTGATGATGTACAAGGCTGCTGAGCAGCACACCACTTTACTTTATATAAGTTTCTCCCTTTGATTAGACAGTCAAGTATGCAGCTTGTTCCCACATATGTGTGCTCTGTATGTTAGAGTGTTGTAGTGCATTATGCATTTATTCCAATCCATGTGAAACCCTTCACATGTACTGCTCTCTGTACATTTTCTATGGCACTTATAGGCGGAGTTTGCTTAATGATCAAGAGCTTGACCATGAAATAATTTTTCTTATTCTCATGACCCTAATGTTTGATTCATGGTTGATATTGTAAAGATAAATCTGATAGTGGTTACTCCAGGGGGTTAAAAGGTTAACATGTTGATTTTAGTTGCTTAAATTATAAAAAATCTGTTAGGTTATTTGAAAGCTCAGTCTCGTGGAAAGTCCTGTGAGCAAGCCATGTTTCAAATTTTCAGCCACATTTCAGTAAACATATATAGCCGGTAAGTGCGTAAGAAATTATTCCATGTCTGAGTACCACATTTCAATCCTCGTTAGGTCCTGATGTTGACGTTACAAAATGACCCACCCTCTATTGACACTGTGGCACAGAACGAAGGCAACAAGGATAACTACAAAAAGTATACCAAAATTTTTAGAAAAATGATAAGCAGCTGTTTGGTAAAGGATCCCGCTCAAAGGTAAGGTATCATTATGCATGGGTAACGTGTGTGGTATAGAAATTTATGTATCATCTCTGTCACTTTCGCTAAAGCTTAAAAGATCACTATCTTCATTTTTTCAGCAAAATATGTGTCTGCCACCGTAGTGTACCCCTGACCATTTCAAATTTTGTCCCCCTCCCCCTCCCCCCTTCCACTCAAAATGATAATGCGCTGACATTTATTGTGTGTTTTATTTTCTTAAGACCAGACGCTTCTGAACTTCTAAAACATCATTTTTTCAAGAAAGCCCGGGTACGTGTGTGAATTACATTATGGGTCAACCGATTGTCTTCCTGAGCTTAAGAGTACAGGCATGCAAAAATCTCGTTTGCTATTGGAAATGGTGGTCTACCGTTCTCAGACCTTAAATCTAGATCTCTCTTTGGTTTAAGTTTTTAACGCAATAGAGAGCTGCATAGCTCATCCCCTGATGAGTTCTTGCCTACAGTTTAATGGAAGACAGACGCATAAGTGACGTCGCCAGTAGTAATTTTTCTTCTTTATCATGTAAAACAAATAGATTCCATGTTGTCGTGGGTTTGTTCAACAATAAGAGTTTTAATCCACGTTTGGTGTGCTCATCGCTAACGTCAAACCGCGGTCAGCAGTTTGTGGTAAGAAGTTAGAAGTGTCGAGGCTTTCAGCTTTTTAGATCGACGTCGGCTTTCACCTGAAAAAAAAGTCAACACGTGCGCCGCCCTCTTGAATTATACAAAAGACAGGGGTCCTTCATTTCAAACACAAAACGTGGCTTAAAGATTGGTTTCAAGACTTCACCTCACGTATATTTGTAGGACATACGTGGGAACTTTCGAACAGGACCAAAAAAAAAGCGTGGAGGGGGTTAAATTACCTGAAACTGCCTTGCCCGAAGTTCAAACGTGAACGGCAAACAGCGCACGTGACCACTGGAGTCTGGACACGTGACTCAGAAACAAACGAGGATCGAAAACTGCCTAATAAATCACAGAAGACCTCAAATTGCGTCTAATAACATCAGTTACACACTCGACTACCACTTTTTTTGTTCTTACCACATTTTGACGTTATCTAAAATTTATTATTCAACAGACTCGCAGCAGCATGGAATCTACTTGTTACATTATGGTACCCTACATAGCTAGGGTTACCTTCACAGGTTGCTGTACAAATATTTTAGCATCAGTTACAAGTTCAACTCTAAGTAAGCATTTACCATGCTGTTCATCGTTAATAAAATTTACTTACATCAGGGAGCTGGAAAACCTGATGTAGTTTGTATTCAGTGAAAAACAACATATTTTGCTAAGGCTCTGCCGCTTCTATTTCTTATTTTTTTGTTTGAGTGGTGAGAAGAAGATTTGATTGTTGAAATTATCTTCATCTTGTGTTCTTGCAGGAAAAGGATTTTCTGGTGGAGACGTTGGTCCCGCTAATGCCTTCTCTCGGTGAAAGATCTCAAAAGGTATGTAGGATTATATAACCCCCTAAGTCCCAAGATGCGCATCGCAATTATCCCATCAAGCTGTTATCATTTCCTTGTTAGAGAGCCAAGAGAATTAGGTGTTTGATCAAGAGAAGTACCCTCAACCGATACGTCTGTGTATTCTTAATACATTTGTGCCGGATAATAAGTTGAAATTCAGGGGGGAAGTTACATTTTTATTCCTTTGGGGAGTTAAAGTGTCTAATAGACTTGATCCGTAATGATATCGTGGTCAAATGTTTTTTTTTTTGGTATTCGATTTCCCTGATCATTTCGTTGCTGTACAATCGTTATTTAGACTTATTATATACTCAACAAAATATCGCGTTTCTGATTGGTCAATGATGAATGCATAAATAGGTTATAGAGTGCAATACGGAGAAGTTGCCATGGAAACACCGGGGAAGCGCCAAATTTGAACACCAAATTATAAAAAAATCGAGAATATAATAAATAAAAAATCGTATGAACCTGCTCGTGCATTTCGTGATTTATGGTCACTCGTGATGTTTTGAAAGTTCTCAAATTGCACTCGCCTACGGCTCGTGCAATTTTGAGAACTTGCTGTACAATCGTTATTTAGACTTATCACAAATGCATTTTATTGTGTTCACTTATCTTCGTTTTAAGGTAAAGCGAGTCCCAGGCTCTAGTGGACGACTTCACCGAGCTGCCGATGGCAGCTGGGAGTGGTCTGATGACGAGGCGAAAAACGACGGTGACAGCGACGGTGAGGGTGACGATGAAAAATCAGCAAAAGCAGATAATGTCAAGGTAAAATAATAAATGATTGATAGGTAAAAAATTTGGTTCGGAAAATTGTACCGTAGTAGTAGTACTTTGAGGATGATAAGGAAGCCTTACTGTTGGCGCAGTGGACTCTGGATCGGACGATTCAGCTTAGAACCTTGGACGGGTTGTGTGTATTATTTTCTTGGGCAAGACACTAATTTTGAAAGTACTTTTTTCTACCCAGGTGTATTAATAGTTCGGAAAAAACTTGACATAAAAGGTAGTCCTTCAACCCAAGGAGTATTATCTCATATTTTGAGATTTTAGTCCTCGCATCACAGGATACACCCCATCTTTCCGCAAAGTTTCCCTCAAGAAAGTAGACTTTCGTTTCAACACAATTGACTCATAATCCAGAAGTGTTATAAAACCGCTGGTAAAGTGACGTGGTAACTATAGCTCTTCATCGTAGTGTACAATTACAACTAATTATCTGTCTCACGTTGTAATCACTACCAGCGACATTAAGACTGCAGACTTCTCCAGGCGATTAGATCAACTGCCCAAACTTTACGTTCTGCTGCCATGTGTTTTTTGTTTCAACAGCTTAGAGTGGCACGTTTCTTTCATTTGTGCACTAAGGACACACGCCAAGGAAACAAATCGAAATGCGCCAATCACAGCTGTTGAAAATCAATCAATGACAGTGGCGCACAATGTTTCATAACCGTAAACTTAATTAGTCTCCTGAAGAGGACTAGCAATATGCAGTCGAGACGTTGCAATGAGAGACAAACGATATCACCCCATTATTCTTTATTACCGTACCATGAGAACAATAAACTAGGACTACTTTAAAGACTAACATCAGTATACTTGGGTTACATGTTTTCAATGTTGATTAACCTTTTACTCCCAAACATCAGTATGCATATTCTCCATACTACTCTCTAGACATTTCCAAGGGTTCTGGTAAGGAGAATTTTTCGACAATCAAGAGCTTCTTTGCTTTGTGATCATCTCCTCTATTCTTACGACCTTAGTGTTTGGTTCAGGGATGATGATGTAAGGAGAAATGAGATGTTGGTCGCTCTTGGGGGTTAAAGGGTTCAAATATGAAAAACTGTCTTTTTCTTCTTTCAGGAAGGTGCACCAAAATCCGAAGGACCAAAAGTCAACATTCAACCGTCCACACCGACATCGCCTAAACCTCGTAAGTCAAAACGTTATTTCTAATCAGACGTCAGATTTTTTTGTATCGTAAACTCATCTGCGTGCTAACCGTGCAAGTGGCGAAGGGAGCCAGTTAAAGTATCCGAGAACATTAACCACTATTTTTGGTTACTCGAATGACTTTACGCGTTTGAAGTGCAGAGGTCGTTTTCAAGCCGTTCAAGATTTGGTCTGTACGGTGCACAATAAAACAAGGATCCTTTTGTTTTTAAGCGAAGATTTTGCTTCATGACTGTACCGATCATTTTGTGTCAGCACGGTTATCGGGATGGATTTACCTTCTATTTTTATCTGCCTTCTCACCCAGCTTCATCGCACCAATTTTTTCAGCTCATACTGTTAGGTATGTTCTTGACAAACGATGTCGCGAGAATTCAGTTAACTCTCCGTCACACAAGAACACTTCGAGCCTTGGTTAAGATACTATACTTCAGGAAGCGCTGTGAAGAGAAATTTTCAAACGAGTGTTGAACGTAATCCGCGTCTTAGTGTGTTTTGTTTTGATTTTCTTTTTTTCAGATAATAGCCTCTGCTCTCATTGACTGAAGTAGAAAACTCTTGCTATCCTTTCATCAATTCGGAAGCCTACTTCGTTTTCCCGCGCTTGCATCGGTTGTTCTCGTAAATAAATATACCATTTAAGTTCTCGTTGACTGCTTTAAATTTTGACTTTCTTTTTCATGTTTGTTCTGATCAGCTTCGGCGAGTACTTTGACACTATTTTAAGACAATCATTCGAAAGGCGCTCCTCTCCTTAGGTTCCTTCCTAACGCTGCAGAAAACTTGCGAAACAGTGCTCTTGATCCCGCAGGTAACAATTTTTTGGTGTTCACCCTGATGTTAATTAATATTTTCACTTTTCAGCGGCACAAATCAACTTGGATCTTACTCTTAGATTAAGGTGAGTTGTTCATGTTTCTCGTCCGTAAAACGTCTAGTGATAGGAGCGCGTACCTTGCCTTTGTGAAATGATTATCATGAAAAGTGTGCCGTTATGTCAGCAGTGAGCGAATGCGCTGGACTCCTGATCGGGAGGTCTGGGCCCAAGCCCTGGCCGTGTCATGGTGTTCTGTTGTGGGGTAAGACACTCTTCTAACGCATTGCCTCTTAAAAGGGGGTAGCTATCAAGGAGAACCTGACGTAATGATGGGGTCGACCTTGTGGTGGACTGATATTACTACATGTGACTGTATCTAAATTTTTTTCTTTCATGTGCATAACTGGTAATAGTTTCCATCATCCGTCAATCTTTTCAGGATAAAGGCATTCATAATTAGCGCGCCTACGTTGACCGTATTTCAGTTACAGCGTGGATATAAGTGGATATATATCGAATTCATAGCTTTCCCCTCAAACTCCTTTTTTTTCCCTCAACAGAAATGCAAAGAAAGAACTGAATGATATCAGATTCGACTTTACTCCTGGTAAAGGTTAGTGAGATATTTTGCCTCTTTTCCAAAATATCTTGATTTCCAGTTCTTCTTATGGATAATAATTCATTTTAACCTGTTGTTTTTTCCCCTGAGTTGTTTACCTCGCACAGCTTTTTGTTTTTGTTTAGTTTAATTGACCATCTGATTTGCAGAAAACGTTTCCAGCCAAGGACTGTTACACTTATCTTTTGATATTTTTAATAATTTCTAGCTTATTTCCTCTTTGGGTTGCTATACATACTGTTACCCTTGCGAACAGATCAACAATCTCAGTGAGCTATGTAGTAATATTGCATTACATTTCTTTGGTAGTTCATATATTTATTTATAATTATTATTTTCATTAATATCATAATCACCATCGTGATCGTTAACATTACAAGTATTGACGTGATTTCACTGTCACGCTCAGTGGTTTTTGGAACTCTGGCGATAACTGGTTTTTTTCTTTTTTTTGTTTTCGTTTCACCCATTCTGATCTGGTGCCACCACAGATACTGCTGAGGGTGTGGCACAGGAGTTGGTTTCAGCAGGTTTAATAAGTGGGCAAGATTTAGTTGTTGGTAAGGAAGTTTAATTGAATTCGTAATTCAATTTAATCCAATCCAATAAATTTTCATTAGTAACTGTTTATATTGTTGTTACTGCGGCAACTCCAGCTTTTGTTCACGTCCTTATTGATGCTTTTCAGATTGGGCGCTCCATTTGGGAAAAAAATGGGGGAGGGGGGATAGGGGGGCATAGTTGCAATGGAACAGTTGTTTATGGCAATCGGAGTCGTACAATTTGTTGATATATTCCTGCATTCTAGTGTCTTACAGGGCTCTTTTTTAACAGTCCAGATTTCTTAGTTAAATTGTTATGTTCCTACTGGTTCGAAGTTTAATTGCATTTTTACCCTATTAACTGTTTGTTGCTGGCAGTGAAGTTTATTTTATTATCAATATGCATGTAAATGTTTCATTTTCAGTTGCTGCCAATCTAAGAAAAGCAATCGATGATCCTCCAAGCAGCAAGTCTATGACTTTTCCACTTGTGAGTATATTTGCTTGTTTTAAGTTACAAACATTTCTTTAGCCCTTTGCGCTCTTAAATCAGTAAACGCATTCTCCATTGTGTTTTCTGTACATTTGTTATAGAATTAAATATGAGAGATTCTAGAAATTCTTATGTTGGTGATCATTTCGTTTATTCTCATGACCTTAATGTTTGATTTTAGCGATGATTTTGTAAGGAGAAATTAGACGCTAGTTAAAACGGGAAAAAAAAACCGGAGCTTCGACGAAACAACACCTGTAACGGATAAGCAAACAATGAGATAAAAAAGCGTTCAAAAAGGTCGATGTGCATACATAGCTACCACAACCACAATATGGAAATTTAGTGTTAACAACTGGGTTGAAAACGTAAAATTGGCCACCGTAAAGGGTAAAAAAGCTAACGTTTCGAGCGGTAGCCCTTCGTCGTTAGCCCTTCATCAATCGCTCTGATGAAGGCTAACGCTCGAAACGTTAGCTTTTTTACCCTTTACAGTGGCCAATTTACGTCTTCAACTCAGTTGTTAACACTAAATTACCTGCTATACTCTCTCACCGACGCAGCACCACAGTTTCTTTAGAAACTTACCCCCTTTACACAATAAGGAAACCTTTTTAGGGTAGATGTGTGTAGTGTTTCATTTAATTTATTTGTTTTGTTTTACTACTTTTTTCCCAATAATTGCAGAAATCAAGTAGTCATGAACCTCCCGATGATAGGACGTTGATTGGATTCGCGCAGCTCACGATAAACTCTTAGCGACGGTGGAACAGCACTAGTAATTCAAAAAGAAAAGAAATATTAAAGTAATCTAGTTTTGTGGCCCTCACCATATTCCATTTTTTAGCTATATTGTTCTCAACAGGATGTAAGAGAAATCATTGGACGAATTAAGTAGAGAAGAGTTAATGCAATCGGAAGAGGAAATTAACCAATGGAAAAGCTGCAGCGAGCAGTTAATCCTTTAATTCCTAGAATAGATTAACATTTAGCTTCTCCTTTCAATATCTATAAATATCTATAAATTCAGCAGCAAACAGGTTGTGAAAATACTCAAACCCATCAAGCAGAAATTGTCATCTTGATCCAACACCAAATTCTCGTCGCTAATTTACACGTTAATGTGTCGCAGCTGGAGGGGAGAATTAACATTCAGACCCTGGGGTCAAATGGTGCAGAGCCGGCCCATAAAATTGTTCTCCTAGAATGAGAAAGAAACTAAATTTTTCGCTTGGTCGTCAATTAAAGAAAGAGGGACAACGGAACAGTTATGAACTTCCACGAGGAAGAAAGAACCAGTTTCACCATCTTTCTCCTTTTCCTACTGTATGTACCTGCACATAGATCTGATCCTAGTGATGTGCAAGACGTTTGTTGCGTGTGGATCTGGTAATAACCTCTTATTAAACGAAGTCCTATGTGGCTCAGTGGTAGGGGAAAATCTGAAGGTTTTGTGGTTCGATTCCTCATAGGAACTAATCAATTTCTCTTTCTGGGACGCTAGCTACAAAACGGAAAACATTTTTCTTTTTGACCCCTTTAGTTACAAAAAGGGGCTGTTGCGTAATATTTAGCAACAGCACTTGCAAATGTTGGGGTTCTATAAAAGGTCCTTTATGGACTTTGCAAGTTAAATTGAAATTTTCATTGTCTTTTTGTTTTGTTTGTTTGGATGTTCAAGGGGCAAATTTCCTCTTGATCGCTACAACAAAAGAGGGCATGATATTCACTCGGCAGGAATATTATGTGTGGGAAATGCGTTTAATGCCTCGAGGACAGTTAATTGCTTCATTACCCCTTGGTTCTTTATGTCTTGTTTCTCTGCGAGTTTGAGCTCTATTTTGGTATTCCTTTGTGAACATCTCCATACCAGTAGATCCACACACGAGAACTCGGTCCTTTGGAGGGAAATATCATTCTCGTCTAGCTTTGGCTCCTGATAGGCATAAAAGGAAAATATCTTGGTTCTGATTGGTGGAGGCACAATAATACACATTTCATACTGTCCCTCATTTGAAAATCTTTCCTCCTGAACGTTTTCTACTCGTCTTCCTTTGGCTCCTAGTATGCTCGAAAGGAAATATCTTGGTTCTGACTGGTCAAGGCACAGTAATACACATTTCGTACTGTTCCTCGTCGAGAAATCCCTTCTCGTGAACTTCAAGTGTGTGTGAATTTGTGCTAGTCATGTATGCATAGATTGGGACACATTCAATGCATTCATATGCAACGTGCTAACTTGTCTGAAGTATATACCTCACTACTGCTAGATAAACTGAGCTGGAAAGTATTTTATTAAACAAATATGAGTTCATGTGATGGCTGCTATTTATTTAATGCATTCGTTCCAGGAGCACCTGCTAGAATGGGCACAACATTTGTCTTGGTGTTCTGGTATACATACCCGTGTGGGTCCTGGGTTCGGTTTTAAGTCGTCCAGGCGGTCTTAAACTTTCTGGGGTTTCGTCTGAAAGTTCTTAGTCCCACTATTGGCTTTAAGCTGACTTCATGAACACAGAGACGTGAAATCAGCGCAAGACGAGGGTACTAATGTGTATCCCTTCTAACACCCTGAGGTAGCATCCAGAGCAGCTTTCGGAGCATCGTCTTAAATTGTCTTAAATGTCTGAAAACGCAGATCGCGTACGATGTTTGGGCTACCTGTGGTGACACTGGCTAGGTCCTCTATCCTCTTAAGATGTTTTTGCGCTGCCAAATTGGATCCACTTGTTCATTATTTGACACACGACCGCTGTGTTTGGGTTGTGTCCAAACCTTACCGGCCAGAGGTACGCCTGAGGATGTTGAAGTCCTAAATGTAATTACTGTCCTAAATGTAATAAAGTCTTAAATGTAATAACGTTCGGTCCTAAATGTAATAAGCCTCCTATGCAATCGTTTAACTGCGCTAACATTGAAATGTTAAAGTGACAGCTGTTGCGCTAAAGAATCCTCTGACCAATATTTATGGAATATTGCAGGCTCACTGATATTAATCAGCGTCTTTTTATTTGTTAAAGAGGTAGGTTGAGAAGCATTGGCTACAAAACCTTATACTGATACTGATGTGCTTTTGGCATCAAATTGACGGACGCAAAAGCAATGAGAACGTTGACTAATAGCCCTCTCTATATCATTGGCTCAGACTCTTCAGTGTAACAGATTTTGACGAAATACTTCTGTCTTCAGTGCTGAGGTTAACACTTGATGAACCGAATTGCAAGGAAAAAGAAGTCCACCGACTTATGCGTTAGACAAATTCTGGGCTCAGAGGGGCATTCTTTGTACGGTCTTCCCTTGCCAAATTTGTACGGGTCTGCATAAAATATATTCATAGGCGTTATTGACCGAGCGTGAGGTCAAAATGGCTATATATTGGCTGAGTTTTTTTTTTTTTTTTGCGTTTTTATGGACGGAGACGAGGTCACGGTCCATAAAAAAGTAGAAAAAGAACGAGGCTAATATCCAGTAATCTTGACCATACCAGCTTGGTCAAGAGAGTTTATATTCTCTTGGCTTAATCATTAAAGGATTCATTGTATAGCAAAAGATTTCGCTTTGATAAGAATCAAGAATGGCCTGTTTATTTCGAGAGCCGATAGTGAAAGCCAACTGTGTTTGCAGTACAATAAACCCAAGAGGGTCGTTTATTTTTTTCTATGTATATGCAAACATTGTCCAAAAGTTACGAACTTTGTAAGTTTTCTTGCGTGGGATCAATACGGGGTATCCCGAGCGGGCGAGGGTGGGCCCATCATGCCCGCTCAGGTAGCCAATCAGAACACAGGATTCACTTCATCTTGCCCACGTGCGCTTCTAGCTATTTGATAAAGTGACTAGTGAGCAAGATATCGACTGACCAATCATATGCTATCCCATTTCACGATCACAGGTCTTGACATGTTACCTTTTTTCCACGCAAGAGTCAAATTGAACCATTGAGCTACACCAATCAACACATGATGGTCAGTTGACGGTCTAATGAACCATTCATTTTTTTCCTTTAGCCCCTTATGACGGGTTCATCAGTTCCGCGAGCCGAAATATTAGGAAAACGTATATTTTACAGTTGATCTCAAGTTTATATTTCATTTTTTGTCTTCACCTCTTCTCCCCGCCGTGAGGGGAGAAAATGAATAGATAAATAGATGAATGAAAAAAGAAAGCTCAACAGTTTCCACTTATAGTCATATGGTACATGAACTGATTACTGAGGTGGAGTAAAGCCATAGAGGGCTGGAAATGCAATACCCCAAGTTCAAAATTGAATAAATCAGGATAGTCATTCTTAAAAATGAACTCAAATGCTTCATCAGAATCAATCGACACTGAATAACATTGATTTGCAAAATTTCAATAACGCTACTAATAATAATAATTTTCTTTTGGATTAGCATGTGACACAGCGAAATCATACAAACTGCTCTAAAATGGTGCATCACTACTAAATACTTTAACACGAAAGATAACATCAACAATAGCATGCTAGTTCATCATCAATTGTAGTCAATTTCTTTTCCAAAAAGTCTTAATGGTTACGTACCAATCGATTCCATCCTATTAAGCTTCCAGCCAAGCACTAGCCCACTTTGGGCTGGAAATGATTTTCTTCAACTCGATCGATAAACCGCTTTAAGGACCATACTTCGACTGCTGATATTTCTTATGTCTAGCAAGTAAAAAGACGCTGATTGATATCAGTGAGCCCATAATGTGACATGTATACTGGTCAGCGGTTTTTTTGGTGCAACAGCTGTCACTAACATATCATTGTGGATGTCCGCCATAACAACAATGCACTGCAGGAGTCAAACGATTTCATCGGAGGCTTATTACATTTAGGACTAAATGTTATTGCATTTAGGACTTTATTACATTTAGGACCAAATGTTATTACATTTAGGACTTTATTACATTTAGGACAGTTATTACATTTAGGACTTCAACAGAGGAGCACTAGTAACGAGTTTCCGAGTCGAGTGATTATCGGAAATTGTCGGCTATTGCAATATGACGGACTACTCTAGGAACACTATTTGCGATTTACCAACAGTCAAGCGATGTGATTGAACCAGACATGAACATTATAACATACTTTACATGTGAAGAATACATTGTTGATTTTAAATCTAAGAAATTTCGCTAAATTTTGTGTGGCTGTTTCCTTCACCCTCGTCGATCTTAAGTTTCTTGTTCAGCAGAGCGTTAGCTTAACATTGTGGCCGCTAAGACCTACACTTGCAATGGTAAACAACAGTTATGAATAGTATCGCCGCTATAATGCCCTTGTCCGAGTGCTACTGTTTGGAAAGATCCCCAAGATGAAATTTCTACTGTCTTGTACCCCCAGCCAGTAATCTCAGGAGGCTTAAAAAAATCTTCCCAGCTAGAGGTACAACTTGCATATCTAGTCAACTTTGCCTGATTGTTACAACGATTTGTTTCGCATTTTACTTTTTCTATACTCCAAATTAGTCTTACACTCTTTTGAATCACTTTTTTCGGGAATACGTATACAATTTTTTTTATTTTTATTTGGTCTTGAACCTCTAGCTGGTAGGATCTTGCCGGGCTCATAAAAGAGGTACAGCTTGCACACTTAGTTGACTTTCCCAATTTTAATTATGGTTTGCTCCACATTTTACTTTTATGCACTTCAAGTTGTAGTCTTATACTCCTTGGAATCACTTTTCACAAGAGTACGTTTACATTAATTTTTTTATTTGGTCTTGTACCTCATGCCAGTAGGATTTTAAGAGGCTTAGAAATACTACCGGCTAGAGGTTCAGCTTGCATACTTAGTCGACTCTGCACAATTTTTAATACAGTTTGCGTCACATTTTACTTTTCTGCCCTCTAAATTAGTCTTGCATCCCTTTGAATCACTTTTTCCAAGGATAACTATACATATATTTATTTTTATTTGGTCTTGAACCTTTAGCCGGTAGGATCTTAGCGGGCTGATAAAATACTACCGGCTAGAGGTACAGCTTGCCTACTTAGTGGACTTTCCCAATTTTTATTATGGTTCGCTCCACATTTTACTTTTCTGCTGTCCAAGTTGTAGTCTTACACTCCTTGGAATCAAGGAGTGTAAGATTACAATTAGCACATTACAAGAGTACGTCTACTTGTCTTGCACCCCTCTGAATCACTCTTTTCAAGAATAAGTATATATTTATTTCTTTTTAATTTGGTCTTGTACCTGTGGTTGGTAGGATCTTAGGGGGCTTAGAATATACTACCAGCTACAGGTACGGCTTGCATACTAAGTGGACTTTGCCTAATTCTTTTTATGGTTTGCTCCACATTTTGCTTTTCTGCACTCCAAGTTGTGGTCTTACACTTAGGAATCTTTTTTTTTTTCAAAGAAAACGTTGATTTTTTTTTCTTTGATTTGGTCTTGTACCTTTAGCCAGTAGCATCTCAGGAGGCTTAGAAAAGACTACCAGCTAGAGGCACAGCTTGCATGTTTAGTCAACTTTGCCCAATTTTTACTGTGGTTTGCTCATTTTACTTTTCTGCACTCCAAATTAGTCTTGCATTCCTTGGAATCACTTTTTTATGAATACATTAACATTTTATTCTCTCTTATTTAGTATATAACTTCTAGCTAGTAGGATCTTAGGAGGCTTAGAAAATACAGTAAGTAGAGCTTGCATGTTTAATTAACTTTGCCCAATTTTCATTACTGTCTGCTTCGCATTTTACTTTTTGGCATTCCATTTTAGTCTTGCACTACATTGGAATCATTTTTTCAAGAATATCTTCTTCTTCCTTGGTCGTGTACCTACCACTGTTTATTTGATAGCACAGCACACATGCTACAGCATCAAATGACGCCTTATGGGGAATCACCTGAAACTAAAGCACGCATTATTTGGCAAAAGGCAAGGGGTTTCTGGTTGATGTGCAAATAAGAAAGGTTTGATATATTTTTACTAGTAGCAATTTTTATTTAAAAATACAGTAGATAACAAAGGCACAGGTTAATGTCATTTATATAATTGTATGAATTCAGTATATATAGTTGATAACCATTCTGTATTTTCAGCAGAAAGTCAAATGTGGAGCAAACTGTGATAAAATTGGGCTAAGTCAACTAAATATGCAAGCTGTACCTCTAACCGGTAGTATTTTATAAGCCCGCCAAGATCCTACCAGCTAAAGGTTCAAGACCAAATAAAAAGCATAAATAAATGTATACGTATTCTTGAAAAAAATGATTCAAGAGAGTGTAAGACTAATTTGGAGTGCACATAAAGTAACAAACCTTTGTAACAACTGGACAAAGTTGACTAGATATGCAAGCTG